CAGAGGAGGAGAGAAACATGGAGGCCTGAAACTAAACAAATCTGATTTCCCTGTGGCTACGAACGAACCCATGATGTAATGGAGGCTACTTTGACCCATCATTCTTCCCCCCACACCCTAATACGTCACACATCCTCTGTTTCCGCCTGAGACATGCTTTCACTGTGTGATCTTGCAGTGGCCTGTTTGGTAGCTCGCAGAATGATCTAAGAGGAACTGTGGCCACCACTTCTTGGCTAAAGTATGATGTGGCAACTGCACCCCAGGTTTTTTGCAACACAGCACCTGCCAACTCCTTTTCTATGGCCTAAAAGGCATATTCAGCCAGCATGTATCCTTGTGTTCCTGGTTTGGGAAACACAGAAATAATCCTGTGTTAAAACCTTTTACCTCGGGTCCATTCTTTTGCACTCAGTCATGTGGATGGAGGAATGCATATCTCCCTGTAATAAGAGGGGTGATTTATGGTGAATGGAATAAAATGCCTTTAAAATAAAAAGATAAGAAAGAATTGCAGCCTGGCAACACTAGGGTTTGATCACCAGCTTAGCACAGGTATTGGGTCATAGAGGGCTTGGGAGCAAGGACTCTGTGGTTCTCATTCCTCTCCTGCCTGAGTGACATATGTTGGTTTTTTTAGTCGGTGTTTTGTTAGAATTCTGGTGGTTTTCTGTGAGATTTGCATCTGACCAGCCACATCTTTTTTCTCTTCCTTTTTTTGATCCGTCTAGGTTACTATTCTAAATGGAAGTGACATTCGGCATTTGTACAACTTTTCTGGAGAACAGGTGAATGTCTGCCCTGCCGGAACTAGAAGGACTTGGTGCAAGAACTGGCCCGACCACTGAAAATAGCCCAGTTCACTTGAGCTGGAATAATTTTATCTTACCTGGTGTACTAATAAAGTTGCCACCACCAGGCTGTACGTGGCTTATGGATTGAGGTTTATTCCAGCAATCAAGTGTACGGAGACAGAATGAAAGAGGAAATATAGAAGGGTTCCTGTGTTCCCATATGGATCCTTTTTCATTTCCTGCCCCCCTCCCCCACAATCAATTTCAGCTTCTCTAGGGCCTTTAGCTAATACTGTGTCTGGGTCATGATTCTGCAATAGTATAGCAACAGGATAGGATTTGGTATTGAGTGATGTATTCTGGACAAGTTTCTAGCCCTTATGGCTGTGGGGCCAACACAGGAGGTGTGCAAGTAATGCCTGCTAATGTCTCAGAAGAAAGAGTTGTGGATGAGTAAAATGTGCATTAATTTAGGAGCAGGACTGCCATTCTCCATACAGCAGTCTGCTCTTGCCTCTCCCTGGTAAAATCAGAATAGACTATGCAGAAAAGGATGAGTTGTGCCTTTCCTCCCACTCTTTGCATAATTTATACAGGTTCCAGAATCCTTTTCCAGGCACAGTATTTGAATTGCTTTGTGTAGCATTTTAAATTGGTTTTTACATAGACAGCACCCCTACCTTTCAACTCAGCTACTGATGCATGCATAGGGGAATGGGGGGAGGCACCTCCCACTCAGAAAGATTTAGCCCAAGCCATGTGAAGGCAGTAGGGGAGAAGTAGCTGCTAGGCCAGCAGAAAGTGTTTCTGCTAGAGCAGGAATATCTAAAATATCAGTATATTTTAGTTTAAAGCTCTTAACTGCTGGTAACTAAACTTCAGGAGATGCATTTCAGCTTTTTAGAATTGGGGCACAGAGTATTGTATAAAAACTGGAAAACCACCAGACCACTGGTATTTGGGGGAAAGGGACTGTTGCTGCAGGATCAGAGAACTCCAGTGGGCTGGATTGGGTCTCTGGTGGGTCTACACTCTGCCCTAGAACAGCCTTCCCCCAATCTAATGACCTCCTGATGTTTTGGACTACAGCTCTCATCAGTCTCAGCTAGCATTGCCCATGCTCAGGGAATTGTAGGCCAAAGCATTGGGTGGGCACCAGACAGGGAAAGGCTGTCCTAGAGCTCATGATTGATTTGTTTGGGAGGAATCTCTTCCTTTACATTCAGAAACAGTACAGAAGTGCCCAGATACCATGATGAAGAGAATGTATGACTGGCCTTACAGGGGCACCACCCCGTCCAGTCATTCAGGATTCCTGCCCCACCTTGCCATACTTAGCCTTACCTTGCATGTCGCTTCCCTCAACAGATGGCTGCCTATTTTGGGTATGCTGTGGCTGCCACTGATATCAACAGTGATGGGTGAGTTTCAGGAAGGGGCAACCTAATCAACAGTTAATGTGTGTGGGGGGTGGAAGTTAATATGCCTGGGTGTGAGGAGGCTTTGTGAAATGTTCAACAGATGTTGGCTGGGAAGCAGAGCAGAGAGCCATTGGGGAGGCCGAACTGTGCATCTGGGCTAGAGGTGGTCAATCTCAGGATGTCCTGGCCAACTTTTCAACTGTCCCTGAGCAAAAAAGTTAAAAGTCAGCAGAAAATCACTATGTATAAGTAAAACAGACACATTTAGCTTGTTTTTAAGCTTGCATTCAGTATTGGTTTGCCACTGAAATTCAGCAGCAACTACTTTGTCATCATGAATTTTGGGAGCACAGCATACATGTGGCTCACAGGCCATGCATTGCCAACCCTGATTTTTTTTTCTCCCAATTTATATCCTGCCTTTTTCCTACAAAGGGCTCAAGGCAGCTTACATCATTCTCCTCCTCCATCTTATCCCCACAACAACAACCCTATGAGGTAGGTTGGGCTGAGAGTCTGTGACTGGCCCTAAGTTACCCAGTTGGCTCCATGACTGAGCAGGGACTAGAACCCAGATCATCTGAGTCCCAGTCCCATGCTCTTCACCACTACACCACACTGGCTCTCCTTGATTTAGGCCTTGTCATCTATCCCATGTGTGGCCAATGCTGCAATCCCTACAATGAAGCTGTGTGTCTTCTGACTCTAGAGCTGGTGACCTTTGTTTCTTGGCTTCGTCCTTTTATCAGCATCTCAACTTTCCTCTGCTTTGCAGCCTAGATGACCTACTGATTGGAGCCCCTTTGTTTATGGAGAAGACAGAAGATGGCCGTGTTCAGGAGGTGGGCAGGGTGTACATCTTTCTGCAAAAGCTGTATGGCATGGAGCCTGATGCATCAGCGGAACTTACCGGTCATCAAGAGTTTGGCCGCTTTGGCAGTGCAATTGCCCCTCTAGGAGACCTCAACCAGGATGGCTACAATGGTATGAAAGTCCAGCTGAGGGCTGGGTTAAGGCAGGGCAGGGGAAGGGAGGGAAAGAGCAGAATATATTCATGACTGAGTATGCCTGAATGAGCAAGGTGGTGAAGTATTTATATACTTAAGAGTGTGAGCAGGCATTTTCAGAAGTTGTCTGCTTTTGCCAAAGTGATGGATAGAAAGAGAGAGTTCCAAGCATAAAATGTGAATGACCACTTGGACAGTTTCCTCTTGCTGTTATGAAATAGCTGTCCTCCCTCAAACTTTTTGGTTTTCCCAGGAGTATTCACCAAACAATTCATCAGTTCTAGATTTCTTGTATTTCACAGTGAAACAAAGAAGTGGGTGCCAGATCACCATTCCTCTTCAAAACAATGTTAACTCCTCCTCCTCCACAACTAGGGTGCATTGTCTTAGTGTGTTCTGGGTGTGCCTCCACATGAGAAGGAGACAAACTGAGAGCAGCAACCCATGTAAAGAGACAGTAGGGAACCTATCTGGTACATGTTGCATCTTTGCATAGAGCATGCTTGAACAATCCTTGCAAAGGCACTGCAGAACAACCTGACCACTGTTGGAGACAGGATGGCGGAAAAGGCAACCTCAGAGTAAAACCACAGGCAACTGCTTCTGCAAATGCTTTGGGGAAAGGGCTCTTGCTCACTAGAAATGTACATACCTTGCATCTTGAAGACCTTACATTTTATTTCTGTCACTTTTAAGGTTTAAAAGAATTTCAGGTAGTGGGACATGGGCTTGAGACCTTGAACAGATGCCACCCATCATGAAGAGTCTAGTGGGCTAGCGGATGAAGATTGGGAATAGGTACACAGTAGTTTTATCTGTCCAGAATCTTTGCGGAAGGGTTGTAGCTCAGTGGTAAATCACGAAGAAAATCTCAATTTCAATAAGCCTACCTATTTCAGAAAGGGCCTGAGACTGCTTGATAGTCTCTGACAGAAGACTGTCTGCTAGGCTGAAATGGCCTCTAAGAAACCTTTCATTAAGTGAATTTCCCTACAATGCAGTAGTGAGTCCTTGGGACTTAGGCCTGATCTCATGAGTTACTGCTGTGCAACCAAAAGTTTAGCATGGATATAGCTAACCTTTCAATATTTTAACAGTTGTACAGATGAATAAATTTAGGGATGTGTAGCCTTGCAAACCAACACACTGCTGCCCACTCCCTGCACAGTTTTGGTACCTGCTAAAATTCCCTTTTACCTATTTCACCAGTGTGCCATTTAAAGCACTGAATCCCTGGTAAGATCTAGCCTTCCTAAGTTGTAGAGCTGCATATTTGGCATCCCTTTGAGGAAACTGAGCTAGCCAACATAACACCAGCATTGGGGCTGGATTCAGAGCAAAGCAGAGTGAGGACAAATTTAACATGATACCTTCCAAATTTAAAAGGAAGGCAGGCAGATAAGCAGAAAGAGTTCTCCTGATTTTGCTGGAAAGCTTGAGTGTCCCTGCTCTAGGCATTGCGTGCATGTTCAAGATAACCGGAATTAGGTACCCTTTAACGGCTAGCAATTGCAGAAACAAAGTCATGTTTATTCCTCATGCCCTTTCAGTGTATATTTTTGTGCAAGCTAGGGATTCTTATCTACCTTGGTATGCAACTGGGTACAATGATTTTATATGTATGTAGCAGAATGGGGTGGGGAAAATATCCTGTGCATGATTTTGCTGCCATCTTCTGGCCAATATTCCTAGTAGTGCTCACAAAAGATTAGCTTTATCTTTTGACCTCTCTGGGAACAGTTGCTGAAAAACTCTGGTCTCTCTGCCATAGTCCAGAATGACTTTTAAGCAACGCAAAGCAACACAAAACAAAGCCTGTCTTTCAACTGAGAGATTTCCAAAGCAGCTGCTAACAACAACAAACACATAATCCCTACCCACCGACCAACTGATTCTAAAATAGATCCTGGACTGTGCAAAAATGGATAGATTGACTTTTTCATTGAAGGAGAAGGAAGAAACTGACTTCTATCAAACTTGGGACTCTTTTTATTATTGGCTAGAGAAACGGGATTTACATAGATTTAAATATGTTTTTAAGTTATCATAAATAGAAAAAGATGGGTGTGGGGGCTGACCCAGCGGGTCCGATGTTTTTGATGATGGATGTTGTTTTTAGTTTTGTTTTTTAGGATTATAATTTCAAGTAAAACTTATTTAAAAAAACAAACAAGCAAACAATCCAAGTTGTGTCTTGAAGTTGCTGTGGAGTCCAATCTTGAAATTAAGCACAAGAGTTGTGTTTGTGTCTGTGTGTGCATGCATGTGTATGTGATCACTTCAGGACCATTGCTCCAGCTCTAGAGGATTTTGCACTGTGGAAATAAGCTTGTGAAACTTGGTTTTAAGCCAATTGGAAATGAAAGCGGATTTGTTGTTGTTGTTAGTCATGAAGTCATGTCAGACCCATCGTGACCCCATGGACAACATTCCTCCAGGCCTTCCTGTCCTCCACCATCCCCCGGAGTCCACTCAAACTCACACCAACTGCTTCAGTGACTCCATCTAGCCACATCATTCTCGGCCGTCCCCTTCTCCTTTTGCCATCTATTGTTCCGAGCATTAGGCTCTTCCCCAGGAAGTCCTTCCTTCTCATTAAGTGGCCAAGTATTTGAGTTTCATCTTCAGGATCTGGCCTTCTAAAGAGCAGTCCGGGTTGATCTCCTCTAGGACTGACTGGGTTGATTGTCTTGCTGTCCAAGGGGAGACTCCTCCAGCACCATAGTTCAAAGGCCTCAATTTTTCGGCACTCAGCCTTCCTTATGGTCCAGCTTTCACAGCCATACATTGCTACTGGGAAAACCATAGCCTTGACTATACGCACTTTTGTTGGCAGGGTGATGTCTCTGCTTTTTAGTATGCTGTCTAGATTTGCCATAGTTTTCCTCCCCAGGAGCAAGCATCTTTTAAATTCTTGGCTGCAGTCCCCGTCTGCGGTGATCTTGGAGCCCAGGAAAATAAAATCTGTCACTTCCTCCATTTCTTCCCCATCCATTTGCCAGGAAGTGAGAGGACTGGATGCCATGATCTTAGTTTTCTTAATGTTGAGTTTCAAGCGAACTTTTGCACTCTCCTCCTTCACCTGCATCAAGAGACTCTTTAGTTCCTCTTCACTTTCTGCCATGATAGTGGTATCATCTGCACATCTGAGGTTGTTGATATTTCTCCCAGCAATCTTAATTCCAACTGGTGATTCATCTAGCCCCGCCTTTCTCATGATGTGCTCTGCATATAAGTTAAATAGGCAGGGCGACAGTATACAGCCTTGCCAAACTCCTTTCTCAATTTTGAACCAATCAGTGGTTCCGTGTCCAGTTCTCACAGTTGCCTCTTGACCCGCATATAGGTTTCTCAAGAGTCAAATAAGATGGTCAGGTACTCCCATCTCTTTAAGAACTTTCCACAATTTGTTGTGATCCACACAGTCAAAGGCTTTAGCATAGTCAATGAAGCAGAAGTAGATGTTTTTCTGAAACGCCCTAGCTTTCTCCATGATCCAGCGTATGTTGGCAATCTGATCTCTAGTTCCTCTCCCTCTTTGAAATCCTGCCTGTACTTCTGGTAATTCTCAGTCCACATACTGCTGGAGCCTAGCTTGTAGGATTTTGAACATAACTTTGCTAGCATGTGAAATCAGTGCAATGGTGTGGTAGTTTGAACATTCTTTGGCATTGCCCTATTTTGGTATCGGAATGCAAACTGATCTTTTCCAATCCTGTGGCCACTGTTGAGTTTTCCAAATTTGCTGGAATATTGAGTGTAACACTTTTACTGCATTGTCTTTTAAGTTTTTGAATAGCTCAGCTGGAATACTGTCACCTCCACTAGCTTTGTTGTTGCTCAGACTTCCTAAGGCCCATTTGACTTCACATTCCAGGATGTCTGGCTTGAGGTCAGCGACCACCCCATTGTGGTTATCAGGGACGTTAAGCTCTTTCTTGTATAGTTCTTCTGTGTAATCTTGTCACCTCTTCTTAATCTCTTCTGCCTCTGTTAGGTCCCTGCTATTTTGGTCCTTTATCATGCCCATTCATATCTCCAGTTTTCTTGAAGAGATCTCTGCTCCTCCCTATTCTATTGTTTTCTTCTATTTCTTTGCACTGTTCATTTAAGAAGGCATTCTTATCACTTCTGGCTATTCTTTGGAATTCTGCATTCAATTGGGTGTATCTTTCTCCCTTGCCTTTTGCTTCCCTACTTTTTCAGCTATTTGTAAAGCTTCCTCAGACAACCATTTTGCTTTCTTGCATTTCTTTTTCTTTGGGATGGTTTTAGTTGCTACCTCTTGTACCATGTTGCAAACCTCCGTCCATAGTTCTTCAGGGACTCCGTCTATCAGATCTAATTCCTTAAATCTATTTGTCACCTCTACTGTATATTCATCAGGGATATGATTTAGGTCATACCTGAGTGGCCTAGTGGTTTTCCCTACTTTCTTCAATTTAAGGCTGAATTTTGCAACCAGAAGTTCATGATCTGAGCCGCAGTCAGCTCCTGGTCTTGTTTGTACTGACTGTATAGAGCTTCTCCATCTTTTGCTGCAGAGCATATAGTCAATCTGATTTTTGTGTTGACCGTCTGGTGATGTCCATGTGTAGAGTCGTCTCTTGGGTTGTTGGAAAAGAGTGTTTGCTATGACCATCGTATTCTCTTGACAAAATTCTACCGGCCTGTGCCCTGCTTCATTTTGTACTCCAAGGCCAAACCTGCCTGTTATTCCAGTTATCTTTTGGCTTCCTACTTTAGCATTCCAATCCCCCATGATGATAAGGACATAATTTTGGGGTGTTAATTCTAGAAGGTGTTATAGGCCTTCATAGAACCGGTCCACTTCAGCCTCTTCAGTGCCTGTGATTGGGGCATAGACTTGGACTACTGTGATGTTGAATGGTTTGCCTTGGATTCGAACTGAGATCATTCTGTCATTTTGGAGATTGTATCCCAGTACTGCTTTTCCTACTCTTTTATTGACTATGAAGACTACTCCATTTCTTCTGAGGGATCCTTGCCTGATGGTCATCTGAATTAAATTCACCCATTCCTGTCCATTTTAGTTCACTGATTCCTAAGATGTCGATATTCAGTCTTGTCATCTCTTGTTTGACCACATCCAGCTCGCCTTGATTCATGGATCTTACATTCCAGGTTCCTATGAAGTATAGATCTTTACATTATTGGACTCTCCTTTCACCACCAGATACATCTACAACTGAGTGTCCTTTTGGTTTTGACCCAGTTGCTTCATCCTTTCTGGCGCTACTAGTTCTAGCCCTCTGCTCTTCCCCAGTACCATACTGGACACCTTCCAACCTGAGGGGCTCATCTTCCAGCATCATATCTTTTTGCCTTTTGGTACTGTCCATGGGGTTTTCATGGCAAGGACACTGGAGTGGGTTGCCATTTCCTTCTCCAGTGGATCATGTTTTGTCAGAGCTCTCTGCTATGACCTGTCCGTCTTGGGTGGCCCTGCATGGCATAGCCCATAGTTTCATTGAGCTACACAAGCCCCTTCACCACGGCAAGGCAGTGATCCATGAAGGAGGAAAGCAGATTAGTAGTTCTAAACTGTAGTTTGCCTGTTGTATGCCTGGAAGCTTGAACCATGGTGTGCAAGCCATGGTTTCTTATTATGCCTGAATGTAGCTAACAACCATTTTGTAGCACATGCTGCATTTTTTTTCCCTGTGAGAGAAACGATGGCTACATGTTCCTGTAATAGGGAAACATAGTACTGCGTGTTCCTTAAAATCACATGAGAGTCCCACTATAGTATTTCATGATCAACTTTTCTTATATGATGGTTAGCTTGACCTTCCATTTCCTTTTTACCAAACCTTTACTAATTCCAGCTTCCATCCGATCCATGCCCCTGAAATAACCGCACACATCATGATACAGACTTTGCTTTTTGTTCCTACAGATGTGGCTATTGGGGCGCCATTTGGTGGTGAGGCCCAGCAAGGTGTGGTCTACGTGTACAATGGTCAACATGATGGGCTACACCCCAAACCCTCTCAAGTGTTGCAGGGTCAGTGGTCAGCTAGCCAGACCCCTGACTTCTTTGGGTTTGCCTTGCGTGGGAACAAGGACTTGGATGGGAATGGCTACCCAGGTAAGGACAATATATGGCAATAAAGGCTGCTTTTGGAACATTTGATACAGAACAGCCATCACACAGTGCAATTCCACATCTCAAGTTAACCTATAACTCATTAATCCACATATGTTTGCTTTGAGTTCCCATAATTGGCACCCATTGGCTATAGCAGCAAAGAATTATGGAAGTTGCAGTCTCACACATCTGAAGGGTGACAGGGTGGGCAAGTCTGCCGTAGCTTATTTGTCAGAGAACCTGCTTTGCTTGCATACAGTTTCAGATTCAAGTCCCACTACCTCCACTCAAAGCCAGAAGCAAAAGGAGGTCCTGGTGACTCTTAAAATATAAAGGAATGGCAACTTCATTTGCCTGCAATTCCGTGTGAGTGCTCGGTATCCAGATGCAGTTATGTAATGGCTTAAATGAGTCTTAAATGCTGTATATAAGAGAATTTTGCAATAAAAGGTTGCATTGTGAAATGCTCTTATTCAGTCACTTGGCCATGCCTTTCTTTAGGATAATCCATTCCATTCCTTTTTCACCCTGGTTTTCTACTCCCCACATCTCCAAAAAATCAGCATTCTGTGACCAGTGAACATCCTCTGTCCCCCATGGGTAGTTTTTTGGGATCATCCATCCTTAGGATTTTACTCTTTGTACTTCTGCAGACATTGGAGTATCCCCAGGCCTGCTTATACCGCCCATTTGCACCTGGGTAATATTGTTTTGGCCTTCTAAGTGACAGCATTCAGGCCCCAGCATTAGAAAGAGATGTTATTCCTGGAATTGGAACAAATATTGCTTTGGGATAATACCTGGAAATAGCCATACAACTATTGTTTCCCAGCAACTTTTCAAAAGAAACTGTCATACCACTGGCAACAATACTCAAAATAGCTGAGGCTGTAGAGAGTGTAGCATCGCTACAGAGAATGTACGTAATCCTGACAAGACTCAAATGTATTCTCTGTCTTAAACACATAGTTGTTGTTTCATCATTCATCTTAGGGAGCTGAATGACCTGCTCAGTAAAAGTCAGCTTCAGAAGGATGATTGGTAGAGGAGACTGCCTCTGGGTATGTGTTGAGTGATTTTTCTCCATAATCACTGAAAAACCATAGTCATCTAGAATTCACCTACAGGCCTAAATCTATGAGATATCCAGACGCATAAGCTGATTTTTCCCCCCTTTGGAAACTAACCCCATGAATTTGTATCCGAATCCACAGTGCAATATTTGCCTGTTAAAGGCCTAACAGACTGTTCCTTTCTTTCTCCTTCAGATCTGATTGTGGGGGCCTTTGGAGTGGACACAGCCATGGTTTACAGGTAGATACTAAGTGGGGATATAGGCAAATCATCTTCCCCAGATTTGGGAGAGGAGAACTTGGATTCAGAATAGCAGATAAAATGGCAAGCCCATCACCAGTCTCTCTCTCTCTCTCTCTCTCTCTCTCTCTCTCTCTCTCTCTGGGAGTGAGTGAGTGAGTGAGTGAGAGAGAGAGAGAGAGAGAGAGAGAGAGAGAGAGAGAGACGCACAGTCACTATTTCAATACTTGAGACATATTACACTCACTTGATAAAATCATGAAATCATGCTTACTTGATGGAAGGCAGCATAGCTCACTCCCTTCTGGATTATCTTGGAAATATCATGAGACAAGAGGGTGGTGACTCATGACTTAGACCATTCACTGGACCAGTTTCCATGTGCCAAAAAATACAGAAAAGCCCTGTCCATTCTCATGTAAATAATTGTGAATCTAGGCTATTACTCTTAGAGCCATCCATGTTATCTGCCATTTTGTGTTTCCAGAGGTTCTCAGAAGAGGCTGGAACTGTGACTGCTTTGACCCATCCAGGCTAGCTGACCTTGGAAGCCTTCTTCCAAGGGCTGATTATGTCTGGGCAGGCCACTGACTTTCCCACCATTGTTGGCTCTGAAGAGCATGGCAATTTGGTGAAGGATGAGAACATTTAAGTCAGTGTTTCTAGATACTGAATATTCTCCAGCACTGACCTTTTACTAGTGCTAATGACATTGTGTTAGCAGAAACCAATGTTGGTGCAATATAAAGAATCAGGCATAGGGTGGGCATTGTCCGAGGAAAAAACCAACCCACGAGAGCAGCCAGTATTGCTCTCTGGAGACCTCACCACAAGCCCAAATGCCTCACAAGCCCAATCCCAGAGTGAGGCTTTCTGCCAGCATTGAATGCTACTCCAGGATTCTCTCTCCCTAGGATTACAGATAGTGAGCCACTGGAACCTTGCAGATGAAAACAAGTGTGGCGAGTCTGTTGTATCAATGGGACTTGAAAGGGCATGGAGGCTGTATGGGCCAGCGGGCTGCCCTGCCTTGATCTCACCTCATCTACATGAAGTAGGCCAACCAAGTCCTGCTCTTTCCAGGGCAACCTAGGTGCTTGCGTCTAAGGGTATTTCTCTCATGACCTGTCTTGTGTCTCTCTCTGCAGGGGTCGCCCCATTGTTCATGCCAGTGCCACCCTCAGCATCTTTCCCTCCATGTTTAACCCTGAGGAGCGGGCGTGCACCCTGGAGGGCTCAGGGACCCCTGTTGCGTGGTGAGTGATGTTGGAAGGCACAGCTGTGCAACATGCTGTTATCCTAGACATTATTCTTTGTTGGCCCTTTTTCTAAGCTCCCACAGACCTTGTGATTCCAAACATTCCTGGAGGGTAGGCCTTGCCAGCTAAACTATTTCTAGGTACTGGTCTTCCACATTAGGGACCAGGTTGGCAATCCTGAAGGAAAATTACCCACTTTTTTTTAGTTTTATCCCATTGGAGAGTGAAAAGATGGTAAGTGGACAAACCCTAGCTGAGCTGTGAGTCTTATAGCCATCTGAGATCAGTTCTGGGGCTTACTTTCCAGTCTCCAAGTGGGTTGTGAGGAAGGAGGGCTCCTACAGGTAAACCTTTAGCATCATTTTTTAAACCCTGAAGTACATTTTCTTTGGCACATGATCTTGGGTGTATATAAGCAAATACACCCAAATGGGTTTGGGAAATGTTTAAGTAGCAAAAAGGTGGGTATCTGCCCTTTAAAAATGTTAGTGGGTTAGTGGGAAGCAGTGCTGAGAGCCAGAAGGGAGCCCCATAGTACTGATCATAACCAGCTCTAAAGTCACCTGGATACTTCTGGCCATGTGGAGTCTCATTTACAGGCTCCTGCATGAGCCACTCTTCTGATTCAAGGGTGCTAAACCTTTCAGACAGGACTGAATTCAGTTTCTGAGACACTCTTGAGAAGTGTTCAGTCAGTCATGACTTTCTTCCGGACACTCCATTCTGTTCTCTTTCCATCTGGTTCTAGTGGTGAGTGGGACCAAAGGCAAACAGGTGGAGCCAAAATACTAAAAATTCCAGTATGTTTTAGCTCAATTCTCTTGCTGCCTGGAGAGGCATCCTTAGCAGAGGTATTTTAATCTTTTAGAGTGAAAGAAGAACTGTGCAGAGGCTGGGAATTCACGAAGCAATTGGCTCTTGGTGGAAAGGGACCCTAGCCATCTGGGCCTTGTGGAAAACCAGATTTGGCCAGGGGACCTGCTGCTTGACATCCCTGACTTGGTTGCATATCATATGACTCCTTTTCATGTTGGCCCATGCACTTTATAAGGAACTAGAGGCAGGTGCAGTATTTTATGGCAGCAATGGAATAAGTGATTGCATGGAGTCCAGTTTCAGTGGCTCTTCATGTGATAGAAAATAACATGTAAACCAGCCATGTGTAAGAGGTGAAGCAGAGCCCTCTAGCCATGACAAAGTGGGAAGGGGTTATTTATAAATGGAGTTTATCAGTTGCTGAGCAACAGGGGGAAAGAGGAGGGCCTGTTTGGCTGCTTGCCCAATCTCTCAATGAATTGGGTGATTGTAGCAATCTAGTGACCCAGCTGGGACTGCATGGTTAGGCAGAAAGGCTGAGTCAGCCAGACAGCATCCTGCCTATCCATCCTGTCTGCCCCACTGATCAGATGTCACCATTCTCCTTTCCCCACAGCTGCAGCAGAGACTTTGCCAGGTAGCCTTCATTTCCTACCCAGAGCTGCCAGGTTTGCTGTTTTCTAGAGCTGTCTTTTGCATTTCAGTGTGTGCAGTCTGAGAATAGCTTGTCCTGGCCCCAGGAATGCTGTCTGGTGACCTTCTTCCTGATTATCATGGGTAGAACCTGATGCCTCTTTCCCACAAGGGGCTGCCCCTGGAAAGTTTGGCATTCCTCCTTGTCAATTCAAGAGGGAGTCCTTTTTTTTCCAGGGATGTTGGGGAAATGTGATGTTAAATCATTCCAGTTTTTTTCCAATGCTTTTTCATCTCTACTTTGGCCTGATCCAGCATGTTCATCCTTCCTGTAACTGCTTTGTGAAGCTCTGTCAGAACTCTGATTGTCCAAAGGGGGCAGTACTCTGAGATTACCTGGCATATGTGGAACCTTCTTTCTGTCTTGTCCATGTGCTTCACAGGAATTACTGCATCCCTACACCGCTCTTTGAGGCAGGCTCTGCAAGGGAGGATTTGAACCTGGGGCATTCCCATTCAAACTGAACCCTGTCCCTGTGATGGTCTCATTGCCTTTTTCGAGTTACAGTGGCTCATTCTTCCTCCTTTTCTTTCATGTCAACAGCATCAACCTGAGCTTCTGTCTGAATGCATCTGGAAAGCATGTGCCTGACTCCATTGGTGAGTAATTGGGCCAGCAGGAAGGGGATGTGGGATGTGTGGCCAAAGCCCTGCCCCCTGGGAAAGGCCAGGGGCAAGGGAAGGCTCCCTTGGGTCCATAAAAGCTTCTGTTGCTAACCATAAATACAGACTTTGCAAACTAACATGAAGATTGAGCTGTACCCCTTAGCCTAGATGATGAGGAAGAAGCCATTCATACATATAACTTGGTTCTTGTCACAAGTAGTTCTGTTTATATGGGATGCTTGTAATAAAAAGCCTTAGATAAATTCTCCTTGCTTTTATCCAGACCCTGCCCCAGCTAATAATGATGTGGCTGATAATAAAGTGGGGTTATAGCTCAGTTTTCAAGAGGACATGCAAAGACTGAATTTTATATTGACATTGTAATAACATATAGTAATGTTGCTTTGAAGTTTTCTTTTTGAAGACAAAGATGTTATGTTCTATTGTTGCAAACTGTTTCAGGCATACTGTTTTAATATGGCAGGATGAAATTCTAATAAAATATTCTAAGCAGTTCAGTCAACTCCATTTCTAATGGGTTTATATATTTCAATTTCTGGCTCCCTGTAAACATTTGGTATCTGCAGTTTTCCTTTTCCTTTAAGCAATTTTAAAAAAACTCAGGCAATACAAAGCAGGATCACACATCACAGTACAAGAAGATCACTAAAGGAATAAGGACACTCACTGATTATGAACCTTAGCATTTTGTGTTGAGTTTTGGATAATCCTTCCTCTCCCTCCTTGTGTACAAACTGATTTTGTGAAATTTGTGTCATAATCATTTTATCTGCATGCTGTTTTTCCATGGCAAAACCATGCTTATAATAACAATCAGCAATATCAAAAAATATATAGGAAAATATGGCAACATTTCTACCTACATAACAGTTATGACAGGATGGAAAAATTATATTCAAAAAACCCCTCACATGGATATATTTGCACCAGGATTAAACAATCCAATAATCATTATCTTAAGGTCAAAGAAATAAATAATCCCTCAGAACAAAAGTGATTGTAGGGGCATTAACAAGACTGGAGAAGCAGGGACCATGCATTGCAGAACTCAAATCTAGGTGATCTTGGCTTTGGATTCTCTGTAATTCCAAAGGGACCTGGGTATGGAACCCTGTTCCTATCCTGTCCTGCTAATTAGACATGAATCCCTTAACATATATAGTGGGTGCTTAATGTCGGTTCTGCTACTGGTTTGTGAATTCTGCTGGGCTGGGTTCTGGAGCAAAGCGTTCTTGCCTCTCAGCTAGTGCCATCTACTTCTGTATGACCTAAGCAGGATTCACCGTGGAGCTGCACCTTGACCACCTGAAGCACAAAGAATCAATGAAGCGAGCACTCTTTCTACATTCCCAGCAGCCCCGACTGGTCCAGAATCTCCAGGTCCGAAATGGTGCCAACACTGAGTGCCGTGAGATGAAGATCTACCTCAAGGTGAGTGGCAGACTGTGTTGGGGTGCCCTGTGTCATCTCTTGAGGAACATCTACTTTGCCACAGTAAGAAAGGTTGCAGGAGACACTGATTTTATTTTTGCACTTTATCTCAAATGGAGCAATTCTTTCCTGTTTGGAAAGTATTTGGAAAATGGGTCCCTTGTGAGTCCTCCTTCAGTGCCTTGTGGTGTTCTGCAAGAGGACTGAAAGACATCTTGATTCATGAGGAATGTGGGATGTGATCCAAAGGGCTTCAGCAGATCTATAGGACGCCTGTTAATAATGAAAACCTGAGTAATGAAAGCAAAGTTAGACATTTAATTTAAAAAACCCTAAACAGAGTGGAGGAGTTGTTACAGAGACAGACAAGGACTGGGGAGACCTAGGTTCAAATTCCCATTCAGCCATAAGGTTCACTGGGTGACAGTGAGTTAATCACTGTCTCTCAGCCTGAGGGTTGCTGTGCCAAATGGAATAGGGAGAGAGCCACACATTTCCCCAGGAGTGCCTTCAAGGCAGGATAGGTTAAAGAGCAATCACTGTTGCATCATCCCTGTGCACCACTTTTTAAAGAGGAGCAGCAAGAAGGAAAGGGCATTGGCTTAGTGGAGTTGCTCCTGGCTTCTCCAGGTGACCTGGGAAAAAACTCCTGCCGGTTAGTGCCAACTGTACTGGGCCAGATAGATCAAGGGTCTGAGTGAGGATAAGACAGCCTCCTCTATTCACAAGAAAAATCCCTGCAACATACAATTTATAATATAATTTCTCTTTAAAAGTCCAGTAATATATTAAACTCTTAGCACACAGTTGGCATTACATTATATAAGTTATAATACTGCTATAGCAGGGATGCGACTGATATGCAGCTGTTTTGCAGCCTGCATGTTTTTCCTGAGAAAGCAGAGTGCAGGGACTGGACCTGCCTCTTCCAAAATACAGCATTCTGAGGTGGAGGTTTCAGACTCCATGTCAGGTCTGGTATGCAGGAAGCAAGTTGCTATGGGGAGAGCTCCAGGAACAGGAGGCCCTTGTGTGATGCTAAAGCACCAGAGGCAAAAGCGAGTTCAAATACAGGCAGAGGTCAGATACTGGTAAGACAAAGCAGGGACAGAGATCCAGCTTGGCATGGCAGGTCCACAGGTTAAGGCAGAGTCAGGAACAAACAAAATCAGAAACTTAACAAGGCATGGCAGGTCCAGAAGCAAAGGCAAGGTCCACAGCTACACAGAGGTCAAATACCGGGCAAGGTGAAGAGCAGCCAGAAGTGAAGCAAGGTCAGAGAGAACAAAGAACAGGTACCTGGCACAGCAGGTTCAGGTCAAAGGCAGGAGTCATAGCACAGTCCAAGGCGAGGCAAAACTGGAAGCAAGACCAGGAGCACAGTGTAGCTACCACAAAGGCTTGTGCTGGTGTGACCAAGTTGAGCAGTCCAAGGCAGCCTTTTATAATGCTTTCCATAGTTCCCAGCAGTGCTGTGTGATTATAGAGGTTCCAATCCTTGCCAGGATTTACAGGTACACTTCTTGCAGAGACTTACAGGTTAAAATGTGCTGCTCATCAGCAGGAGGGCTTCAGATCCTGACACTCTGGATTTGAACTGGAAGAAAGGGCAGGATCAAAATACTTAGCTGAAATGCTAAGGTTAACAAGTGGGGAGATCAGCTAAGTGGCTCTGCCTCTGGTTTGGGGTTTAACAGGGAGGAACATAGTAGAACAGGGAGGGTCAGAGAGGGAGGGGTATGACTTTATCAGCCCAGTGATGTGAATTCAAACAGGTGGACCAATTAGGTAATGCCTGACATTCCTGCTGTCTGGTGCATAAGCAGTGTGAATTTCCCTGAGGGTGGAGCCCCCTCTATTTGGAGAGGAAGGGAAGAAAGAGAATATTCTCTTGCTATGAGCAAGAACTAACTCCACAGTTAGAGGTTCTTAACTCAGTAGAGGCCTCTTGCTAACAACCTGTATATTACTCTCTTTTTATCACAAGACTAGTCCTGGCTAGCCAGTTTAAAGATTGTCATGAGAAGCCTCTGCTTCTGGTCTGTTGGGAAGGAAAAAGAAGAGAGGCTGGGGGAAAGCGCTGCTGGCTCATGATGCAGACGCACCCTGATGACCCTATATTGTAATGTGCATTTCTTTACAGCATGGACTTAATGCTCTTCCCACTATCTTCAATCTCTCCCTCCCTCCAGGGTGAGTCAGAATTCCGTGACAAGCTCTCCCCCATCCACCTATCACTCAATTTCTCACTGGATCCAGAGGCTTCGCCAGACACACACGGTCTGCAACCCATCCTCAGCTACCTCACACAGAACCGCATTGAACAGAAGGTATACTAGAGTGGTAGATTGCTTAGGTCCAGGTTATCGCCTTCCCCTATATGTACCTACCCCAGACCCTGAAGTCCTCTTTGGGAGTCTTTCTCCAAGAGCAATGGGTTGTTTTGTCCCTCCACCACCACCACTTATAATATTTTCTTTGCTTTGCCTTCTCTGAGGAATCAGAGAATGCTTTAGTCAGTGACAGGATTTCAATGGACATCGTTTACAAAAATAGGAAGGAATATGCCTCTTGCAGGATGGGTTTTACTTGCATCAAAAATCTGCCTGTGTGCTTTATCTGTGACTGGACAGGAGTCTCCTGGGGCCATTGACATCCTGTGCTTGTGAGCCTTGTCACAGAGGATGTGTGTGGCTTGACTTGCTTGCCTGAGCTGTGGGAGTTCCCTTGCCCAGCGTTGGTGCACTTGCTTTTGCCAGGCTGCGGAATGGATTTCTGTGATTCTGGAAGATGGGGCACCTAATGCGTAAATTAGGGTCATACTAAGCCTGGCTTTCTTTTTTTCCCCATTTTTGTTGACATTCTATCCCTTAAAGTTATATATCATCACCTGCCCAGCACCTTTCAGAGTACTCAGGAAGTGAATCCTCCTAGCCCAGGTGAACTGCCAATGTTCTGATGATCTCATAACAAGCCCGCTTTGCCTTCCAGGCTCAGATCCAGCTTGACTGTGGAGAAGACAATGTCTGTGTCCCTGATCTCCAGCTTGAGGTCTCTGGGTAAGGCTCTGCCTGCTCAGCCACAAACAGGGACGACGCCAAGCTACTGCATGCTCACCCCCCCCCCACCCGTTTTGCATCCCTTTGTGCATGTGATCACCAGACATTGCCCTTGTGGAGTTGAAAGGAGATGTACCATCAACATCCCTGCCAGCAGTGCTGATCTTGCTCCCTCCAGTAGTCCACTCACTGCCCGGTGAAGTCTTCCTTCTAATCCACGCATCTGTATTCTGTGCATGTGTGTGTCTGTGTCTTTGTACATGCATGTATTCCTCTGGCACTGGGGACTGTGGGGCAGTGATCTCCCTTTTGGTCACTGGTGGATGAAAATGTAAGATTGTGGGATAGCTGATGGACAAAACGGAGCTCTGTTGGTAACAGTACCCGCACCTCCATTGTTCATAGGCCCTTCTCTGTGTCTCCCATTGATGAACATAGGTTGTGAGCCGCCTGGACAGCATTACAGCACTTTGCATGTTGTGTCAGCACCTCAGACACTGTTGCCAGTATCTGTAAACACACAGAAGTAAGCTAAGGAATATAGTAATGAAGACTTATCTAGCACAGCATCCTCCAGATGCTTTAGACTGCAACTTCTCCCTGCCCGAGCTAGCTTTAGAGTTGTGTGAAACATCTGCATGGTGCCTCATCGGAGATGGCTGGGCTAATGTAAGGGAAAAAGCTAAGTCAAAAGATAAGCTACGTCAAAAAAAATAAGCTATGTCAAAGGAATAAGCTGCATCAGAGGAGTTGCATAAAAGAAGTAAGCTGTGACACTAACTAGACTGGGGAAGAGTTATGCCCACCAGTCCATCATAAACAAACTCTTCACATCTGAACCTGCTGGCAGTCAAGTGGGGAAAGACCAGCACTCAGTGATATGTTTCCCATGCAAAAGGTCCTGGCATATCCAAGGGCTGGGGAAGACTCTTATTGGGAACCTTGGAAAGCTGCTGCCAATCCATTTAATCCAGGGTAGACAACAGGCACATTTGCAATCTTTTTCCAGGCCTAGAGGCACAACTATAATTTTGCCTGGTATTGTCTCTAATCTCTGTTTCATCTTGCCCCCTCCCTCCCTGTATTTCCTCCTCTCCTACTTGTCATGTCTGCCAACAGCTGCCCACTTGCTTCTGCCTCTGTGCCCCCACCTGCTTGTTTCTTCTTACCACTGTACTCACCTCAGGAGCAAGGAAGTGGGAAATCCATCAACTTCCTGCACTTTTGCTCTTGAGCTGAGTACATGGTAGAAGAAAGTGGTAGCAGAAATGGCACTGGAGAGAACAAGTGCCCTGGGGGCTGCCCCCAGCAGTCCTGAAAGGGTGCAGGGCTACCAGTGAGTGAGTACAGGTCTACTTTCTATGATTTAAGGATTCCGCAAATTCTGCAAAAATTCTGCAAAAATGGGAGGTTTAGCAAGATTCTAGCTTCAGGGTGTAGGGAGTTCAAATTTCAATACAGGGGAGGAACACTATTAAGTCATAAGAGTTCTGACTATCAGATGACTCGTAGATTGAATGAATAAATTGAACAAATGAATAAATGAGCAAACTCCAAATGCCCAGTACTTGAAATTATTTGAGATATGGTGGGAAGAAAGCAGAGGCTTCTAAAAGCATTTATTGGGGTTCTTTGCTGTTTGGTGTGAGGAGACATCCACAGTGCACCCATTTACCCAGGAGAAGGTAGGAAATGTGACCAGCCTTGTTCCTTCCAGTTTGTTTCTGCTTTTGCCCAAGAGTCCCTGCTCTCTCCCCTTCCCTCCCTCCCTCACTCACTCCTTCCCTCTCTCTGCAGTTCTCTGTAGGCCTCATTCTTAGACCTGGATTCACTTTCTTTTCTTTGGACTTGTGGAGTTGCTCATTCTACTGCCTATTCTTTTTTTTCCCTCTCAAGCCCTGATTTGTCATCTACTTCTCACTACTCTGCTGCTCTTGGTGATGTCCCCAGTGGGTAAGAAGGCTGCCAGATCTGCAGAGGAAGGCAAAATTGGTGACCTGTGTCCAAGTTTTAAAAAAAATGAAAAAGAGCCACAGTGTCCACTGAAACAGGCAAGGTGTTGTGCCACAATCCTTAACAGGCCACGTACTGCAGAAAAAGCAGCAGTGTGTGGCTGGAGACGTTTGTCTGCCAAAGCTCAGCCATGCCTGCATTGTAAGGCTAAGCCTTGGTGGGTATCTCTGGCAAGCTGTAAGTGGTTAACCATTTTGGTATCCACAGTAAAAGGATTGTGGGGAGAGGTTGGACTAGGTATGTTCCATATTCAGAGGTATGCCTCAATCTAAAATTCACCAAATTCCCACTCAAAGTGCAATTATTAAAGGCACTGCAAAGTCTTTGGCACATCTCAGAGGGGAGTAGCAGTTTGACCCTTTCCTAAGCCCCCAGATCCTTGGGACAGAGGGTTAATATGCTCTCCCATGGGGACTCCAGAGGGAAAAAACAAAGAATTTGCTATTTCTGAAAAATGCCCCCTTCTCAACAAAAGATCCTTCCTGCCTTCGGATTTGATGAACCACTTACTCTCCAAGAGGTGCCCAGTGAAGCACAAAAGGAGGAATGCGTCTCCAGGCTTGGCTGGGGCAATGTGCAGGGGGTTGGCTGCTGCCCCCTTGCAGCAAGCATTCCCGTGGGTATTGCTACAGCTAGGAAGGGAAGTTGCTTAATTGCAGTATAAAAATATGAAATAAAAATAATGGACAGGCATGGGAAACCTGGTGGAATGTGGTGGTTGGAGTGAACTACCCATGATGCCCGAAATAGTCTGTCAAGCCCATTGTGAGTGCTTTGTGGGTTCAGCCAACCCATAATGGTAAATCGCCAAGGTAGGTTGCTGTTATGTGCAAACTCACCCAATGTGGCAATGGCCAAAGCCCACATCCATCACTGGGGGCGCCATATCACACCCTTGATGAAAGAGGCAGTAACACTACTCAGCTGCGTTGAGAGCACCAAAGTGTCCATAGCAGCCCAAGGCATCTCTCCCCCGCAACAGCAGAGGCCATCAGTACCCTGCGCTCAGTGTGGCCAGAGGCACTGTCTCCTGATGGGAGAGAAGACTCCACAGCTCTTACCAGTGCAAGATCAAGTAAATAAAAAGAAAGTAAGAAGACAGCAAGAGGACAACAATGTTGTCATGGGAGCTAGGTTCTTCTGACACACCTGTGGATACCATGGAGCCAAAGTCCTCTCCGCATCCCACACACAGTCCTCCCTCTGAAGCTTCTCACAACGGGAGAGGCACGCCAGGGAGTTATGGACCAGATCACATCCAGGGATTTACCCACATGCACACTTTCCACCACTTCTGCCTTTCACTAGATAGGCCACTGGATTGTCCGAGCAGTAGCAGGTAGCACGGGAGCACCTGCAGAGCTCTTGACACCTTTTGGCTGCCACACCAAGAGAAAAAAACAAGATGGAGAGCAAGGCAAACAGCAGTGGTGTGAAGGGAGCTTATAGTCTGAGTGGCAACTGCACCAGTCTCTTCCTCCTCCACACACCCATGCCCTATGGGCAAGCCCACCATGTGGATGGATGTGTGTGGATTCCACATACATCTCTGCCTTTGGCATCAGGTTTGTGAGGCAGCTTAGGGGTCCTCTCTCCCACATCCTTCTCCAATGCAGCCTTGGTGAAAAGCAAAGCCTTTTAAAGGCTGCTGTGCAAAAGAAGGCCATTGCCCAAGAATGCCCTTTCCAGGGATGCCTTTCCTAGGAGTGGATCAAGAGGGAGGTCACTTTTCAGAAAGCACAGCCTTGCCCCACTTCTGCTTCAGAGGAAGGGAGCACAACAGGGACTCTGCAGTGTCACAGACCTAGTTTCCTCACTTCCCCAGGCAGGACCAAGGAGCTCGGGCTCAGAGGGCGCATGCTCCTCAGCTGGAAGAGGCCACCCAAGGGCCTCTGGCCTCTGAATTGTTTAGTTACACAATGGTTCCAGGGACAGATGCAACACCCCAATCCAGGCTGGCTGCATCTAGCCACCTGACTGCTAAACCCTTTAGTCGCCTCTCATCAAGATAGGGGAGTGACTAGCATTACATACTGTATATCTCCCAGAGACACTCGGCCAATAGAATATACAAAGGCACTTGGAAAGCCTTTGATTGCTAGTGTAGGTGTAAGTCCCATGCCTACAGAAAAACTGTCATAAAAGAACTACTCCAGTTAGCTTTGGATGTCTGCCTCAAGACGAATGTGCAACTCCAGCCTTATCAGTCATCTCCAAGCCCTGATATAGAGCCCCAGGCTATCTCCACATCGCAGGATCCAGCTATCTCCACAGCTCATCACAGGAGACCTCCCAGTCCACCAGTTGTGCACCTCTACTTGGAAGCTACAGTTGGTTCACATGGCCTGGCAATGGCACAGTTTGAGCCCTTAAAGGACTACCCTTCACCTCCTGTCTTGAAGAAGGCCTTCTCCTTATGCCAAGAACCCCTACGAAAAGGATTTCCAAGATGGCAACACTCTTAGTGTGAAACTGCATATTTACTAAAGAGACAATATCATCCCATGCCTAGATCCATATATCTTCTGCTTATCCTTTTTACAGAATGTGGGAGCTAGTTATACCTTAATTTTGTCCCAAGCCTTCCTACCCTGCTCATGTGACACAGCATACACTGGACAGCTGTTGGGCATCTCAGATTTGCTTCGAGGGACTGAGGGGCTTGGCTATGCCAGTGCCTACTTTATTCCCTTTCACCCCACTTCCTTGTGCCAAAAGGTCACTTGCATTACATGGGTCAGATGGCTGAGAACCTGCAAATCACAAAAAGATCCCAAGTTGGCCCATGCGAATGCAACTTCACTAGGCTTGCAGCAACCTTAGCTGTCTTTTGCACTAATGCATCCCTGGCCAAAATCTGCAAGGCAGGTGTGTAGTCGTTATACAACACCTTTTTTAAGCACTGTAAGGATGCAGTGCTATGCACGTTCATGCTGGCCGGGGAACACTGGGAGCTGTATGGCTTTTTTTGCCTAAATATGCACAGGATTGCATTGTAAGTGGGTCAAATATGTCTCTGCAGATGCTGCCTTTGGAGGGTGGGTATTGCCACATGGGATAACCTCCGTCCTAGTTCAGATTGCGACATGCCAACGCTTATCTGATGACCAAGCTTGTGCACATCCCACTGGGGATGCCTCCTCACACTAAACAGGGAACAGAAAGTTCTGTTCTCACCCTGATGTTCCATTTTTGTTGTGTAAAGGAAGTACCCACAGCACAACCTACACTTATCAGGCTGAGTGTAACCACACAACAGCTCACTGTGGGACTTTATCTTTTCAGGGAGGATGCCTGTATTTCTGCTTATTTCTAGTAAAATTGACTCCTCAATCATTATCTTTGAGACAAAATGGAAGGCATAAGCTGCAGAGATCAGAACTAAAGCAGACTTTAGCATACTAAAGTTTTTGGGTCACATACTTCCTGCATTTTCTTACATAATGGTGGTTGGGTAATTAACTCTTTGCAAATGTCTCCCTTGCACCAAACTTTCAATGTGAATAGCTAACTTTCCATTTTCCATCAGTTTTACACTTAAGGTATAGCAACCAAAGACAAAACAGACATCCTTTTTATGCAGACAGATTTGTATACCTTATATAAGCATTTTTGTATGTGATTGACACTACAAGAAAACACCTTTGAAAGTGTTTGGTTCATGGGACAGTCCAAGATGGAGTGTCAAAGAGAAACCAAATACCTTTGTGCCCATACACTGGAAGTGGTTTTAAGTTCAAACTGATGTAAGTCTCGTGAGTGAAAATGCCCCTAACCAAGCCATCTGAGACTCCCTGAATGCTAGAGTTGGAGTTGGCTGTCCTGGTGTGGTCTCACTTTTTCTGGTTCTGATCCTTTGCAGGGACCATTCTGTTGTCCACCTGGGAGACAAGAATTCTCTGAATCTTTCCTTCTGTGCACTGAATCGTGGAGAAGGTGGTGCATATGAGGCTGAGCTCCATGTTACCATCCCACCTGAAGCAGATTACAGTGGAGTTCTGCGGAACTATGGGGTAGGTGCGCAGCACAGGTAGCATCCCCTCATTCCCCAACCAAGCAGCCTTTCATCCAACAGCTGGAAAAAGGAGGTTGTGGGCTTAATTCATTTATGGGTGGATTTCTTACATTTATAGACCAGCCAATAACTAGAGTTCTGTCCTCCCCCAAAACAGACATTTTGGCACTGGAACAGACCTTCCCACCCGCAAACAAAACTACTTAATTTCCATGACTCTGAAATTTAGGAAATGTCCCTATGTGATATAGATTCAGAATGTTATTGCTTGCAGCAAAAGAAAAATATTCAGTACTCTTCTATGTTTTTAAATGTTCCTCATTAATTGGGTGGCAGAGTTTAGTTTAAAGAACTAACTTTTAAAAAACTAAACTAAGATTCAAATATTTACAAAAAGCACAGAGTGCATCCTGTTTTAGGGACAGGATCCTACTCCTCTCTCAGGAGGAAATACTTCCTCTTCTGAGAGAGCAACTGTCTGTGACCTGCTCATGTGTCATTTCAAAATAGTTTTTCCATTGGAACTATTTTTATCTCTATGCAGAGTCATGCAGAAGTAACTGACTGAAATGAGCTTTATTTGTCTTGTATCCCACTCTTCCTTCAAGCAGGATCACAGAGTGGCTTACAAATACTGATAATATAAATGCCAGTAAAACCAACAAAAACTTATTGCTGGCACCACAAAGCAGGTAAAACATGGCAATAATCTACTGGTGAAGCACAGAAACCAACCAACCATGAGCCGAACACTTGTGTAAATAAAAGGGCCTTTAACTTGTGTTTTAAAAGAATCATGGAGGCTGGGTGCTAATTGCACCTGTCCTGGGATAGAGAGCAACAAATGGGGCACCACAAAGAATGCCCTATTTTACATCCTCATCCTCTGCTCCTCATTTATGATGGAAGCAATAAACAGGACAACTCCAGCAGACGGAAGGATTCCAGTCAGCTGGTAAAGCAGAGGGCAGATAGTGGTGTTCTAATTATTAAGGAGCTAATATGCTAAGAGCGAGTCCTTACATTTGCTAGCTCACTGGCAGACAACTTGTTGCTTTCAGGGTAGGTGTAATTTCCCTCCTGCCAGCAGCTGGGCAGCAACTTCCTGCCTCACCTGCAGCTCCCAGCCTATCCTAAGGGTTACTAGAGTAAAGTAGCCACTTAACTAGTTGATGAAACCACAGAGTTTCCTTTAATCAGGGGACAACTCTGAACAGTGACAGTCCTGAGGCTTGTGCTGGCACATTCCTGCCTGCCTTCTTCCACTCTCCACAAAGCTCTGTTTCCCAGGGCTGTTGAGATGGAAAGAGAACAGCTGCGGGATTAGTTTCCCTTTCATGACCAGTAGGACAGTGGTAAAAGTTGAAGTGCTGGTGTTCTTTTATTGATAAATTCACCTGAAGTATTCTTATGCTGCTCCTCAGCCAAAGAGGTCTCCCGGAGCAGTTAGCATTTAATCAGTTAAGCAAGACAGTCCCTGCCCACAGGCTTACAGTCTAAGAAGACATGACAGCCAAAGGGAAAAGAATCGGGAAAGAAGGTGGGGGAAATGGATTTTTCAGTACAGCTGCTGGAATGGCCCTCCCCTGCCTCCCAGTCTGCCTGCCTGCTTGCCTGCCAGTGGCAACCACTGAGACAGGAGCTGCGTTCACGAAGGATGTCTTTCATCAGGGCCCTGCTCTGCCTTTCCTCCCCTTCCATTAAGCTTCCTGGAATTTCAGGGTCCGTAGTTTGAAATGTTTCCAGGGAGACTCCAAACATTCAGGCTGCGGTGTTGATCCATCTCGGCAGACCACATTTAGCCATTCTTATCTGTACTAGGTGCAGGTCATTTGAAAACCTGAGATGTCTATTTAAGAGCAGCCCACCCCAAGATGCTCTGCATTACAGCATGGAACAATATATGTTCACTGGAATATTTACCCTTCCCCAGAACACGAGTTACTGTGAGGATTTCAACTCAGCCCAGAGAGAACAGGGAATTCCAAGGGGGTGGGAATGGCAGATGATGTCATTGTCCCCGATCATGAAAAATGTCAGCAGTGCATTCCTACAAGCCCTTGCTTCACTGATTTGTTGTTGTTAGTCACAAAGTCGTGCCCAACCCGTCACAATCCCATGGACAACATTCCTCCAGGGTCTCCTGTCCTCCACCATCCCCCGGAGTCCAGCTAAGCTCTCACCAACTGCCCCAGTGACTCCATCTAGCCACCTCATCCTCTGCCGACCCCTTCTCCTTTTGTGGTCAATTGTTCCCAGCATCAGGGTCTTCTCCAGTGAGGCTTCACTGATAAGGGCCCAATATTTTTTCTTATACTCTGCTTCTTTTCATGGAACTCACCAGGAATCACTTACAGGCAATGCTGGGAAAACTGTTCCACTCAGTACCCCACCCTCTTCATCCTTCCCTTCACAAAATAACAGGTAGCTACCTCTTCCTCTTCTAATCACACTTTCACTTTTCCTCTAGAACCTTTCCAGCCAGAGCTGCAACTATGGCACAGTGAACGATACCAACATGGTTATCTGTGACCTTGGCAATCCAATGAAGGCTGGCATCAGTGTGAGTGTTGGTGCTCCATATTGGGGTGATTGTTTGGGTCAAGCAATATGGGACTTGAAAGAAGCCCCTCTCTGGCACCTGAAGGGTGGTGGGAGAGCCCGGTGTCAACATGAGCGCTGGGGTACCATTGACTCCAGTCAAGGAGAAGGAATTAATACTCAGTAGTTGGGCAGTATTGGTGTATGCAGTGCTTGCTCGTCGTGACAGGATGCTAAGAGAGGAAGTTAGTCGCTCAATACCGAAGTATAGGACTGGTCTCCCCTGACCTCTGAGGTGATGCAAGTTCCACAGTGGTGGCACCAGAAAATAATATTTAGGGTACATAAGCACCAAAGTGAGGTACAGTGGGAAACTTTATATCCTGGACATAATGGGACTCTCTCTTTCTCATTGCTCTCAAATTAGTAGCTTTCTCCTCCCTCTTCCACTGCCATTCCCTGCACCACAACAGCTTAAATTTAAATAATTTACACTCAGTAAAGGTTGCTCTGCTTTGAACTAGATGATGTTGGGCCCACATACCTGTGTAATAGCCAAGACAGGGACATGGGGTCTGGCTTGATCCTATTCCTTCAAAGGCTTGGCTCAGACTTGATGTGTGTGAACACCTGTTATTGCACGCATGGCTGGCATTAGCATGCAACGCCATTTTCCTATTGATTTAGTTTTTAAAATGTCTGTTCCACTTTATCTTATAATCAACTCAAAGCAGTGAACGCTGTGATCTAGAAAACAAAGTACACAATATGAGCCAAAAGAAAAGCATCCTGCAGCAGAAGAAAAATTACACTGCATGTTCATTTCAACAGAAACTGAAAAATTAATAGTGGTCAGAGGAGTAGAGAATAATCTAGACCGGGGGGTGAGGGTGGGGGGAGGAATCGGCTGATTTCCAAGTCCTATCTAAAGAGCCAGGCTTTCCCCTGGTGTCTGAAGGCAATGCTTAAGCCAAGCAGACCCCAGGAAAGAACTTGACATAGAGCTGAAAAAGAGCCATGACTCATGCAGAGACCCAGCATGCAGCCTCTTCTCAGGGCAGAGAACTCCATTGTGCTTTTGCACCAGGAGTGCCTGGATGATGGAATCTCATTGATGCTGTAAAGCAGAATCTGCTCCCTAACAAGTTGTTTAGAAGGGGTCAAAACCACGATAGGAAATTATGCAGAGGAGATTTGTGGTGTCCTGGATGGGGCAGGTAGGCAGTCAGTAGACTGCATGCACCAACCTGGGAATGAATAGTGCATAATAACCGCAATTGATCAAGGAGGTGCACTTTTCCTTCTCAAGGCTACTTTGCCTTCTGTGCAGTCATTGTTTGGGAGCAGCCCAGAGAGAAGAAGGCAGGGCTGGGGTCCAGCCAGTGAGGAGCAGGAGCAGTAACAGGAAGTGGTGACAGGGGTAGTAGAGTCAGTGAAGGAGGGAGGTCAGGGACAGTGTCTTGCCCAAGGGCCATCTAAAACCTGGAGCTGGCTCTGAAGGGGGCTCTGGCGTCTGCAGACAATGCCCAGCTGCTGTAGTGGGGAGCCTGCTGCTCTAAGGTGGTCCCTGCTTTGAGCGCATCCTTGCACTGCCCTTTTCTTCCCCAACAGAGAAGAGAGGTGAAAGCGGGCAAAGGTCACAGATACTACTAACACCCCTCTTTTGTGTGTGTCTTCTAGCTTGTGGGTGGTCTACGCTTTACTGTGCCTCACCTCATGGATGCTAAGAAATCCATCCAGTTTGACTTTCAGATCCACAGGTAAAAAGTGTGAGAGAATCACCTGATACAGCCTTTTCCATTTGCTTGATCCTTCTTTCCACCCCTCATTGCACCCAACCAGTAATAGGCGATGCAGATGGGAGATGGGTCAGCAGGCTATTTCTCCAGGAAATTCATCTGCTCTTCATTGTTCTTCTGAGGTTCCCCCAGATTAAAGTATTAGCATTTCTGATTCATTGAGGCAGTGCAAAATTGAAACAGATTTTGATGCGGATGAGTTGATGATTCCCAGGAGCCTTGAGAAGGCATCCCACCATGCCTCATGCTCTGAACACCTGAAGTGGTGCTCTGGAGGGCAAGCAGAAGTGGAGGGGCATGGGGCTTGCCCATATTCTGAATGGATCTGCTCATTTGTTTGTTTCATCTGTATCCCACCCAATAGCCAAAGCTCTCTGGGAGGTTATCAGCAGTTAAACACACACAAACAACAAAAATTAACATAAAACAGCAAGAGTAGGATCACAAGTCAAACTGACCTTGATGTCCCCCCCGCACCCCCTCCCCAGTCCTTTTTTTCAGCTTTGCATGCCTGGAGAGCCCCGTAGTGAAGCAGGGCTTGCAGGGTTGAAAGACTGCCAGTTTTGATGGGTCCTATGCCATCCCCTCCATCTTCCTGTTCCCTCTGAATTTAACTGCAATCCTCACAGCAGATGGGGCTGGAAAGGCTTTTTGCAGGAACAATATGTTGTTGTGAGGCAACCATATAGTGCAAAATATTTTGGGGAGGCTTGGTCTTGAATGAAAAACGAAAGAACATTAACTTTGCAAAAGACCCATGAGTGACGTGTAATGCACACAGTAGAACACCCAAGTTGATCAACACAGCTATTCTTGGCACTGCTTGGGCATCAGCTGTGGGATTCACAAACGCATATCCCAATATACCGCTGCACTACTGGTTATGCATAACTGTGTCTGTTTCTCCACAGCAAGAACGCAAATAATTCCCACAGTGAGCTGGTGTCCTACCCCCTGCGTGTTGAGGCTGCCGTTCGTTTCTCAACCCATGGGTGAGTGCCATGCCTGGAGGAAAGGGTGCTTCAGTTTTCATTGTCATAAGAAAAGTTTAGGGACTCAACTTGCCTGCAAGCTGTGTATGTAATTCTCTGCACTGTAAAGGGTGATAGAAAATTATAGTCATTCAGTACTGAGGGAATGGTAATCTTGCCAAGCCCAGAGGTCCTCTCATACCTTCATCCTCACTCATATCAAGCCCTTACTTTGCTTTGGTTTTCAGAAGGGAACTCCAGTTGACACCCTGAAAAGTTTGTTTTTTGATCCCTTTCCTTTTACTACATGCATGACTGTTACATGTTGATTTTGCTGCTAAGGCATGTTAGGGGTTATCTATGAATGAAGTTGGCATGACATTGATGTGCATTTTGATTGTTCACAAGTAATTTTGGCCCAGTTGAATTTGTGAACTAGCTCTATTGGAAAGTATTGTGTCTGAGGCAGCATGGAAGTTCTTTCTCTTGTGCTTGATCTGTGATTCCCAGATATTAATATTTGGTGCTGCAATCACAGCACAAGGTGCATGCATGTGTGAACAACTCCAGGAAGTAGGTCTTCAAGGTCTGTGTCAGAGAAGAATGTATCTAAAACTACATTCAGATGTTTGAGAGAGTTGATTGCAATTTCCTTTTATCCCCCAAGAGAGGCTGACAAATCAAAAGGGAAACAGGATATATTTCATAGTGGTGGGGAACAAAAGGCTAATTACCAGTTGGCACCCCTGTGGTCACTCAGCACCATCTATGGTGATAGCTTGGGACTCCTAAGGCAGCCTTTACTGCTAGTGTGAATGCCAGATGTTTTGGATTACAACTCCTAGCATTCTTGAACATTGGCTATGCTGCCTGTGGTTGATGGGATTTGAAATCCAGATCTTCCAGAAGCCACCAGGTTGGAGAAGGCTCTCTTATGGCCTTGCTCCTGCCTTTACATCTGGCACCCCTGGATTCCATCTAGAACTGCCTATTTCAATTTCCTGGGGTAAATATTTCCTACAGATGTAGCCTCCTATGGTGGAAGCTGGTATTTATCATGCAAGGAATGCTGTTTCCATCCAAAACCTCTCACGTGGGGACAAGTGCAGAGCAGTGGGGGGCAGGGAGGTCTTAGAAAACATTCTTCTCTGTAAAACAGACAAATATCTAATTCCAGGCAGTGCTAATGCTTTGCACAGTGATGGAATGGCATCATGCGTTGCCACTTAGGAAAAGCGTCTGGACCAACCTTGCATCTGACAGAATATTTCAATGGGCTTCTTGCTCTTAGGACACTGTGTGTCCTCTTGAACCCTCCAAAGAAAGAATGAGGGAGATTGTATTTAAGTGTGGCAGGGTGCGTCACACTCGCCCTGTTGAAATGCTACCTCTGATGCAGGCAAGACAGGCAAGCCCAGTTTGTATCTGCGTAGGGGGCTAAGGCAGCTTTCCCCCACCCAGTACCCTTCAGATCTGTACCCTTCAGTACCCAAAACATCTGCAGGGAGCCAGGCTGAAGAAGGGAGGCAGTATGTGGTGGCAGACTGTAGTGGCTTTTCTGCTGGAGAAAATCACTCTGCACATGCTCAGGGACCACCTCAGTTGTGCCTTCTCGTATTTGAAGGCTAGCTTTTTAGCACCACAAATAATTTCTGAGACTGAGGAGCTGAAACATAATACTAGACTCACTGGAGTGAATAAGGCATACTTGCCATAGATCAATGTGACTTCCGGGAACAAATGCAGATGCACACACTTACCAACACTCACTCAGGAATACCTTCAGACTTGCAAAGGGCAAGTACATGCTGTCCAGATAGCTGGTTGGCTGTGGGCCCGCAATGAATCAGCAATGCTCCCTTGGTGACTTTGATGACTCACTGCACAACCGTAGGTTCCTGTATTATCAGACTTAAATATGTAAATGTTTAGGAAAAGCAGTCAGTTTGGTTGATCAGCATACCCTCTTGCTTAGCAGGCAAGCTCTTTGGAGTAAGAAATGTGCTCATTCTGTTATAATGTGCACATCCAACCCCAGTTGAAAAGTTGAAACCGCAGATCCAACCACTGAGAAAAGCATCCTTTCCTCACAGTCTCATGAATCATGAATTAGTAACAGCATATAAAGATCTGGTAGTTTCCCAAGAAATAGCTTCTGTTTCTCAACCAGAGTGTTAACACACCTGGGGTTAGGGTTAGACAGGATAGTAGCTTTAGAAGAAACTCTCTTAAGCGATGTTTTAGGTGTAGCTATTCGGATACTGTTGTGTGGAGCCTTGTCTGATGAAGGACTCTGAATCCTGAAAGTGTACACATTCTTGTGCCTCCACAGGCCAGTAAAAGTTTTCATTTGTATCTTCCTGTCCTTTGGTACTTCAGTAGCAATCACTTACTGTTCTCTCCCCTCCCCCCCCTTATGAAAATTTATTTGGTTTGGCTTTTTTCCATCATAGATGTTATTAAACACGTTGGACATTTTATGGGAAGGTTGGGTAAAGTCAAGTATAGGTGCAAAACTGAGCTTGCCACTTGAGGAAAAGTGAGCAAGGAAAGGATCTTTGTTTTGGAATGTATTTATTTATTGGATTTGTACCCTGCTTTTCTACAAGGAAAAGGCACTCAGGGTGAATTACCAAAGAGAAAAGAGTGAAATAAAAGCCACAGTTGTACCAGAACAGTTTCTAGTGCCTCTAGTGTATGTTTTTATCTTGGAGCTTGCCAAAGGAGAATTTTGACTTGCTTCACTGATCAAAAGAAAATTCCTTTGAGCTTCCACAGCTTTTCCTTATCTAAACTACTTTGTCTGTCTGCCACAGAGCATCCATGCCAGATGCGGTAACCCTCCCAGGGTCTGGCTGGGTCCCAGGTCGATCAGTGCAACGAGAACAAGATGTGGGCCCTGGTGTATGCCATGTCTTTCAGGTGGGTGTTGCTGGCTGGAAAAAGAGGCTGCAGTGGTGCTTGGAGTTTGTATATGTGCGGGGCCACTCTTACTTTTTGGGAGCACTGCTTCATAGCCATAATGGCTGAAACATGCTTACTGAGGCAAAGCACTGATATTCTGAATCTTGTTCCTAATACAATGTTGTGCTTATGTTTTCTTATTCCTGCAAGATTGTGGCATAATCAACATCTGCTCTTCTTATTTATTTCTTTGTTTTATTGCAAAATGTATAAACCACTCCTCTTTGAGAGAAATTGGAACAAATTCAAGCACAGAATACAAAATGGTATTGTAAAAGTGTGAGAAATGGTTTTCTCAGACACATTTAATGGAGGATGTGGGAATAGTGAACTGGAACCTCAAGTTAGAGACAACATAGCTCTGGTTACTGAAATACTCAAGCACATAAGTATTCAGTTGGCTTTGGAAACCTGCATGTCAGCTTCTTGGAAGCACTGGAATGGCCAGTGCTGGAAACATTGCCAATTTGTCTCACCCTCCTGTTCTCAGTCCCTGGGAGGGCTCACTGCAGTCCCCCCAGCAAAAAACCACAATTTTTGGTGGTTCTGCAAATAGCCCTCCATGAGCCTGACAGATGAGCAGACACACTGTGGATTGTTTGCTCTCTTCCTGCTTCTCCTTTTCCCTTGGTCCTCCAGGTGGTATCCCAGGGGACACTGTTGAGGTGGTATCCCAGGTCATCTATCCTTCCTCACTACTTTTGACTCTCTACAGCTTTAGTACTTTACACTTTTTTCCCCAGAGATGTGAAAGCTGCCTTCACAGTACCCATTTGAACAGCCACCGACGCCCACTCTGAAGTACTGGAGCGGCACCTTGGAGGGGCTGTTTGTGGCTGGCAAACATTTTTTTTAATTATCTCACCTAAATTTGGCAAATTTTCTTGCAAAACTTGATTTAACTGTAGTTGCACAACTGAGGAAATTGAGATCCTCTGTTGGCTAATGTCAGGGGCTTGCTTATAGCTGAAGTGCAGCAGGTACCAACCTTGGACATTGACCCAAACAGGGTATAAAGGGGACTTTTGTTTGTCCCATTGGTTTAGTTTGGGCTCTGTCAAATGGCAAACCAAAGGAGTGAGTGAAAAGGGGTGGGGGTGGGATTTCTTATTGGTCCTGCCTGATAATCCTAATTTGCACTGTTCTCTGAGACAAAAGTAGATCCCCTTTCCAGTGTTAATTTGTTTGTTTTTTCCTATGGAAGAGAAGTTTTGACATGGTTTCTTTAAAAATGGGCCTTGGCAGGGTGGTGAAGGCTTTTTGATGGGGGCACATACAGCTGCCCATGGTGGATGATCATCTCCTGGGAACCAGCTCATGGTGTCTGTCCACTACGCTCTGGTTGTTGTGCTCCCAGATGCGTGTCACTTTTGCCATATGGGGATGGCTGCCACTTGTTTGAAGGGAGCACTTGTAGAGCACATGTTTGCATGCAGAAGGCCCCAGGTTCATTTGCTACCATCTCCAGTTATAAGGATGAGGAGATGACTGCTGTGACTGAGAGCCTGGACCTCCCGGCCAGGTAAAATTCAGAATTTTGAGAATATGTTGTAGATTCTCTCACAATATGGATGCCATGGAGACTTGTCCATTCAGAAAGTGGCTGCCATGTTGGTGTGGCCAGTCACAAGATACTCATTTTCCAAAAGGCAAACTGGAGCATCTGAACAAAAAGTAATTTGCTCAAGAACCTAACTATAAGGCGGAGGTCAGATTTGAGCTCCAGAACACAAAACTGCTCCGTTGAACCTGAAGATGGTGCTAGAGGACAGCCCTTTGTTTTGCTGTATTGCAACTTCCATTACATTTATATTCCGCCTTTTTACATCTTGTGTGGCACACAAGGCAGCTTGCATCATTCTGTTTTATCATCATAGCAACAACCCTGTGGTGTAGGTTAGACTAAGTGTAAGTGGCCAGGTGAGGAAAGAATCCAGATCTCTTGGGTCCCTGGCCCAACTCTAACCACTGGACCACATTGGCTCTCATACATACAGTAAAAACCAGGAGGGGGCCTGGTGGGCATCAAGAAAGTGTTTGCAGGCATCATTTTGGAGATGTCAGAAACAGATAAAGCTAAGCTAAATAGAATCTGAACTGGCATGCGGCAGCTTCCTAACTATCTATGCTCATGTTTTCCATTTGTCCTGCAGTTTGTGAATGACGGCCCGAGTTCCATCAGTGAAGGGATCTTGGATGTCAGCTGTCCATACCAAATGCAAGGGCGAGACGTGATGTATGTTACACACTACATAGTGCCAGCAAACTGTACCTCCAGCCATTCCGTCAATCCATCACACCTACAGGTAAAAGTTGCAAACTGAAGGCAAAGAAAGAGACTAGAGAGTGAAGTTTAGAACTGAGTGAGTTCAGTTTCTGAAAATAGGCATAGTGCAATCAAGATTATTTAGTGGCAAAATTATTCAAAAATAATTAGCAGAGAATAAAAATGCAGAGAAGGGGGGGGGGGGGCAGAACATTTTCCATTGCTCCAATCTGTGCTTGCAAAGTAGGAGAAAACATTTTGAATCTTCCTCAAATCACCCTGCTCAGCACCAGATACTTCTCTGGTAGCCCTCCTTTTCCCCACAAACCTATGGCTTTTTTTAACCCGCTTGCATTGTTTGCTTAAAAAACATCAACTTGTTTCAGGAAGCAGTTAGTCTCCCCAAGACATCACATGATCACTCCTTGGTCTTATCAAAGCATCCACGCCAGTGTGCAGCTGCTGTGAAAGCACAAATTCCAAGAAAAAGAAAAACAGATCATTAGAAAAAGAATCAAGAATAAAATTGCCAATATCTTAATCTAAGGAACAAATGTGCCTGCATAGGATATTGCAGAACTGGGAAAGATCCAGCCAAGATGCTGAAGCAGCTTGAGCAAACAATTGTGCCTTTATTAGTTTACAGATAAAGGTAAATAAGGGGGTGGGACATAACAAAGGTGTATAAAGTTATGCATGCTGTAGAGGAAGTAGACAAGGAGATGGTTTTTCTCCCTCCCTCAGAATACTAGAAACCATCATGAGCCCATGAAACTCATTGGTGGGAAATTCAGGATAGACAAAAGGAAGTAGTTCCTCGCATAGTTCATGATTAAACTGTAGAGTTTGCTACTGCAAACAGCAGTGACCACCACCTATTTGGATAGCAGTAAAAGGGGTTAGACAAATTCATGGAGGAGAAGGCTATCAGTGGCCACTAGGCCCTGATGGCTCTTATGCTATGTCACACCCTTTGCTCTGGCTCCATGCCAGGTGGCTCTAATCTGCTCACTGCTGTATGCCATAACGGCTCTATGCTGCTATCGGAGGCAGAATGCCTAGGTGTGTGAGCTTCTGGGGGATCCAGCTAGAAGAATCTTTCTGCACTCTGGTCCTGTGTGCTTCCTGCTGGACCACTGTAGGAACAGAATGCTGGCCTAGATAGGGCCCTGGCCCTGAGCGAGCATTGCTCTCCATATGTTCTTGCAGAGTTTACTGAGTTTAGAACAAAGAGATGGAAAGATGTTTAAGTGACAGACTGATTACCAAGGGAGGAGACTGCTAAACCTGAGTGGCAACATTGTAGTTTGTGGAATTGTCCTCACCTTCCATTCTCCACATTCCAGGCAAAGATTAGGTGCTTATCTGCATTAATGGGAGTAGTTCTGATGGAAGAATTGATCCAGGGTTTTTGTTTTTAGGGGCATTCCTTTTCCATAGAGCATAAATGTTTTCTGTTCTCTGAGGTATGGGATTCAGGTACAGAAAGGATCCACTAGGTTTGGTCAAAAGAACAGTGTCCAATGACACCTTTAAGCATGAAAACTTTGTGGCATGACATTTTATGGCATAAATTCACTTCCACCAAATGCATGAGTGTTCTCTTGGCAGAGAGATCCTTGTGAGGATACACAACAGAAACTGGAGCGGGGGAGGGGGGCATTACTACCATATGGGGCTGGGAGGCCGCACCATGCAGGAAGAGAGTGCATCCTATTACTCTGCAGAGTGCAAATGCAAAAAAAAAAAAAAAAGGCCCACTTGATAGGGTAAAACATTGCTCGGTTTTGAAATCAAATTGGCTTGGACCAGAGGGCCAAATGAGATATGACAAAGCACCCATGCTTGTTTGCTGGTGTGTTTGGCCAATTCACATATAACAAAAGCTGCACCTGGCTTTGTCTCCTTCCTCTGCCTTCCCTGCATTGCTTGAAGCACTTTACTTTCCATCCAGGCTCCCTTCCTAGGGAGGGAGCTGTATGAGGTGGGTGCCAACACCAAGAATGCCCTGCCCCATGTGTTTGTGGGCTTAGCCTCAGACAAAACTGGGTCTCAAAGCAGGGCCTCACCTAACTAAATTACACCTAAATCAGCTGAGTTTAGATCCTAAACTCATCAGATGACAGGGAAATGTTTTGGAAGAAAATGTAGTAGTTCTCAAATGACAATAAGGCAAGTATGTGTCTGTAGGGGGGCTGGTCAAATAGGGTAATGACTACTAAGAAGTTATTCATGAAGTTGCTGAAACAATATGTGTCTCTTTCTGAACATTCAGCTGGAGCAGCCTCCAACCCCTTTTCCTCAGCAGAATCAATACTACATGCAAAAGCAAGATGGAGGATGGCACAGCGGCTCTGGTGGGAGCAGCTTCAGTCTGGTAAGACCAACACCTTGCAGGGACCCTTTTTATTTCCACAGCACGTTGCTTCCATAATAATTTCACATAGTTCTTGGTGGAGGCATTTTGTAAGATCACTCTCAACATATGATCTTACAAAACCTAGGGTGTTCAAAGACATGCACATGGACATTCACATGGTGGGCATGTCATGAGCGGAGCTGGAGCCGGGGGTCAGACGAGATGGCCTGGAAGACCCCTTCTGACTCACTCTGTTTTTATGTTTCTATGATCCATTTGTTCTTAGAACAAATTGCAGTCTTCATTCCTAGCCATAGTTCCAGTTCCAGAATAAGACATGTAGGCTGCTGATTTCCATCGACTTGATTTTAGCACCAAGCAACTGCAAGTTATGTTAATTGTACAGCGCATAACTCTGGTGCATCTTTTTTCTTTTACTCTGGAGTAAGTGCATGTGACCCAATTTAGACCAGGAATGCCATTTCCTGGCAGAGGAGAATTAAAGGAGAATTTTAAACAATTCACTCTTTCAAATCCTACCACCTTGTGATAGTGAGGAGGTTTACAAAAAGAAACCTATTTGCCTTATTATCTGCGGGGGGCAGGGGTGGGGGTTCTTTTTAAAATCCCTGTATGAAAAAGAAAGATTTCAGGAAGCAAATGCTGGTTTAATTCTTTCCTCCTGATACTCATTGGTCCTGATTTAATTTGGGTCCACACACTTATTATAGATTTTTCTTTTGCAGATTGTCAGAGTACCTTTAATTCCATCATCCACTCATAGATGAAAAGTTTTAAAATTTTCTTCTGTTTTGCAAATGCACATCTACACTGTTGCACATTACTGGTAGTGTGCAGCTGCCTAAATGCACATTTGTGCAAAACTCTCCTGCCACCCCAAATAAAAATCCAGTGCACAAGTTGGTACAACTCAGAAAAAGGCTGCTCTGCTGTGAAATTCACTAGTTAGATTCATAGAAATCTGAACTCATTTGAATCCACTGCAGATTTCAAATAGTAGCCTCAAATACATGCTTGTGGAATCAACACAGCTTGTAGGTTTATCCTTAGGCATTGGGACATTCTGGTTCAGACAGTGGTTTTGCCCATATTTTGCTTTTGGAGGAGACCCAATAAATGATGGCTTCATTAAGCTGTCTTCAGTTCCAGGTTCTCTCTCTGATTGCTGTTCTTCCTTGCACTTCAGAAATGTAACGAGGATGAGTGTTTTCAACTTCGCTGCCACATGGGAGCGCTACAACGTCAAGAAAGTGTCAGCTTGCGCCTCTACTTCCGCATCTGGTCCAAGAATTTCCAGCAGGTAAGTACAGAGCTTAACCTGATGTCCACACCAGTCCTCCATGTGTTACTTGGAGATTTAATGTCAGTGTTAGGAAACATCAGTGCTGTACGTTCGAGACAGAAGAGGAGACTATGGCTTGCTAAGCACCTACTGGCTCTGATAGCTCCCACTGGACGGCTCTGCCAGCTGATACCATTGCAGAGCTGTCTTCCACTTGAACGGCTCCCCCATGCCCTGACCTGGATTCATGGATCCACATGCCTTTATTTTTGTGAACGATTCTTACCCCAAACTGCTGAGAGTGGCTTGCAAGATTGTAGCAGATTCAGTGCAAAGCCATTAGCTCATCTTTAGGTGGCAAGGCAGCAGAGAGGTGCAGGGGGCTGGGTGAGGGAGGGATGGAGGTATGGTGAATTCATGCCTCTCATGCACTCTGCTGTCTTGCCATGGCAGGTGCTGTTTTTATGGGGTCTGCCTCAGGGCTGTACTTCGAACGTGTGCTTTCAAGCATCTACGGATGGAACTATCATTTAAGGAATGGGCTTCTCACACAGGCCAGATAGATCGAAGCTCCATGGCTGTCTCTTGGTGATGGAGCAGTGCAGAGCTGTTCCCCATTCTCAGGACTTCCTGTCCCCTTTCTGAAGCCTGCAGCAAGAGCTTCCTTTCAGGAAGTACGCTTCTCCCAGGCAGTACCGTTTGAATTGCCGCTCCCCCATGTAACCGGGTGGGCTGCCTGTTTTGCTCACCCCGTGGTGCCTCTTTGCAGTTCCCCTGCAGAAGGGAGCCACCTGGAACAAGGACATTGCATGCCGTTGCTCAAGAGCAGGGTGGCACGCAACTGCGTTCTCTGAGGATTGTTCCCCTCCAACCGATGAGGCCTCTGGCCTTGGGCAACACAATGAGCCACACCCAGGCGGGAACTTAGGCAAATGGCACCAGGCACATGCTGTGGCTTAAACAGGCCTCTCTGCTTGTCTGAGCTGTGATGATTGTGTGAACTGCGCTGCTGCCTCGGTGTATTTGACAGTAGCGGCAGCTGGTACGGGAAGGAACAGGAGATGCCTAGACAGCATAAAATAAGGTGGACAGGTGCAGTTCTCTACACCTGACCTATGCAGGTATTCATAAATGTAATAAATAAAATGGACCCTGCAGGTAAACAACAATCCCCACCCCCATCAGTAAGTTTAGGATGGATGCCCACACCTGCTTGTCTGCCAGGTTCAGCGCCTGGGAAAGAGGCATACTGGGCTCCCCACGAAGGCTCGTTAGGATCAGCTTGCTTCATGACCCTGCTGTGCAGAGCAGAGTCACTGAACATCCTCCAGCCCAAGGGTAGAACCCCATTTCAGAGGCTCTCTTGGCATTTCTCCAGTAGGCAGGGCCAAAGGCAATGGGGTGGAGCCACAATTCCAGAAGTATCCGCTCATTTTATAAGAAGCTTATTAGCTTATTGAAGCTCTTGCTGCCAGCAGAGGAGCCTTGCATTGCAGCACGTAACTGTTCTGGCAGTTTAGGATGGAGAAAAAATTGGACAAGAGTTAACCCTAACCCTAACCCTATTCCAAGCAATCAGTGTCTGGGAGAAAGCAGGGGGCAGGGGATGAGTATCTGGTGATGCCAGGAGGCCAAGACTGGGCCTTCAGCTTGTGGTTGCCCTCTTGTGGTGTAGAGCCATCCCTTACCTTTCTTTGCTCCATTTTCCACTCCTGCAGAAAGAAAACAACCCTCACACTCTCCAGTGTGAAGCTGTCTACAGTGTACAGAAATTGCCCTACAAAATCCAGCCAGAAGAGCACCACTCAGCTAGCCTCAAGGTTGGTCCTGTTTTGTTATTTTTATGGGTAGTAGTATCAGTAGTAGCAGCAATAATGTCTTTCCTATGAGATTGCACACACATCCACAGCAGTTTACAAGTAACACCCAAACGCATGGTTAAGATCACTATAAACAGTGTCAAAGCATAGCAAGTCACTGAGATCCTCTTCCCTCCAAGCTATGGATGATAGATGGCTCTCTCCCAGGAACAAGGACAGCTCAACTTAGATGCATGCATGTTGCTTTAAAAAAATCAAAGCAAACTAAAGCAAGAAAGCAGAACATTATGCAGAACAGGATATCAACAAGGGTAGAGGTGAAATTGTGCCTGGAAAGTGTAGCTGCTATCCTCAAGGGACCAGAGCCCTACAAGGAAAGGTTACAACATTTGAGGCTTTCTTTAGCTTTGAACAAAGGTGAGTGAGACATGATGGGGGTGTCCAGAATGGCGCAGTGTCCACCCAAGGGGGCAGCTTTAAAAGGGGATTGAACAAATCCATGCAGGGCAAGGCTATGAACAGTTTCTTGCCCTGATGGCTCTGTGCCATCTTTCAGATCAGAGGCACCTTCCAGCTAAGAGCCAGTCACTGGGGAAGGGTGGAGGAATAGCACTCCTGCTCTCTTGAACAGCACGCTGCTTTCCCTGTGGTACCTGGTTGACTGCTGTGGGAAGTCAGGATTCTACCCTATAGGCCTGTGGTTTTAACCCAGCAGGGCTCTTTCTGTCCTTTCATGACTCTTCTGGATCAGGTTGCTTACCATCGTGGACCCTCAGAGGCCAACCAGGTAGCCAGGGAAGCTCGGAATGAGGGCATGCCAGGGATTGTTGGTCCCTTTTGTTTGCCTCCAGCATCTGGCATTGAGGAAAATCGCTCCCCTGTACCTGACGGATCTGCTTAGCTTCCATAGCTAGCAAACTCTGGTTGACCAGCTTCAGGATGCGACAGTGAACAGGAAGTTTTCCTGAGCCATTTTTGCAATCGATAGCCATGCTGGATGTGGCCCCATGACCTGTGCCGTGCCTTATTCTTGCTTCCTCTCTGCCAACAGGTGTCAACATCACTGCACTGGGCGAAGGCAGAGACCAGCCAGGGGGTTCCTCTCTGGATCATCATCCTAGCCATTCTGATTGGGCTGCTGCTCCTGGCATTGCTCATCTATGTACTATATAAGGTAGGCCTGCTCAGTAGGGAGCCTTCCAGTGAAGGGGAAAGTTCAGGGCTGGGAAGAAGTGAAGTGCCACAGTCCAGATGGCTCTGATTCGCTCTGTTTGTGCCACCTATTATTTTCTAGCTCCCTCTGTCCCAGCACAGATTTTTTTTAGTCTTTTCACGCATTGCATAGGTAAATCCAGATTTGCCGCTGTCTCCACGCTCAACAGAGAGTTGCAGTCAAACAGCAGCTCTCTGACTAATGTAGCTCTTTGATCCCAATTCTTTTCAAACCTGTGTTTGTAGCATTCCCATGTTACATTTTAACTATACTCCCCAAAAGGCATCTTCTTCAACCATAGAAGCTGCATCATAGGAATGTAAGACCATCTAGTCCAGCATTCTGTTCACACGGTAGCCGATCAGTTGTCCATGGGAGGTCAGGGATACATCAGCACCCACCCACCCATGTTTCCCAGCAACTGGGGCACATAGGCATTCTGCCACAATACAGCAGCTAGTCAAACATCCTCCACACAAAAGCCTCTCCATTCAGTAGTTCTAACTAGAGTGTCTCACTGTTGTTCATTCCATCAGTCCAGTGTTCCCAGATCATTGTCAGTCACCTCCCCCAAATTTTGGGTGGAGTGGAATCTCTCCATGCTACACAGATAATCCGCACGGCCAAGTGTGCCGTTATGGCCTTCACATGCAGCAGCTGTCCCAGGGCAGCTGTCCAAAGCAGCAGTGCTGTGTGAACATCCCCTCACTCTCTATTTCTATATCCTTGGACAAAACTCTGCTAGGTCTAGATCTTGAAAACATACTGCAAAACAAGATTCAAAGCGATACTGAAAGATGGATTCACAAAGAGCTTGTTGATAAATGATGGTGTGCATGTCTAACTTGCATGTGTGAATGAGCTGACACAGGATAAAACTTCCTAATTGCCCTATGTCATCGCAAAGACAATTCTTTTCCATGACATTCAGGTGAGAACTCAGCGAGTGGTGAATGATCTATATGCACAATCAAGTCTTAGTGTGCTTAATTTTCATGGTTTGTTCTGCCTGATGCATTTGAACATTTGTTTGCTTGTTTTGAATATACCCCATAAGTGGGCCTGTTCAGTCCCATTTTGCATTTCTGTGCCTGCAGCAAAACCTTTAGAGAGCTCATGTTTTTAGTTGGCAGAAGCTTCCAGGCAGTATCTGCAAAAGGCAGCAGACTAGTGATTTGGGTTGCCAGGCTCAAGAGGGTGGATGGAATTGGCCCCATCCACTGCCCTAGTTTCCTTGGAGGAAAGGTGGGCTATAAATGCAAGAAACAAATAGCATGGGTCAGAAGATCTGCTGGGAATGTCTGCTGTCCAAGCCTGCTCTGTTGAAGCAGTCTTGAGCAAGAGCATAGATGCGCTCTCACTCAAGGCCCATTCCTTGCTATGGGATTTGCCTCAGAGAAAACAGATGCCAGTGGTTCATGTGCTGCCTAGGTTCTGACCTTGTCCCTCTGGTTTCCTTCACAGCTGGGCTTTTTCAAGCGGTCACTCCCCTACGGCACAGCTATGGAGAAGGCTCAGCTGAAGCCACAGGCGGCTTCGGAGGCCTAGCAGGCCCAGCTTTGCCCCTCTGTGTATGTGTTTTGTCGCTGCTGCCCTGCAAAGAGGCGCCAGGATCACCTGCCATGAGCACTGGGGAGGGGAGCACGCCAACACCAGCAGGGCAAAACGAAGGACAGAGCCACTGATGCGAGGTCCCCTGGGCTGCCACAGAGAGCGGCACCCGGCTCCTCTGCCCCTCGCCGAAAGAGGGTGCGGGTGTCAAGACTCAGTGCCTTCCCTCTCCTCCCCGTTCCCTGGGGCCCGGATCCTACCAACACGGTGTGCCCCGACTGGGGCCTGCAGCAGGCCTTTGCTCCCAGCCAAAGGGAATACTTGAAGCCGCTGGAGTGGCCGGTGCTGGCCTGTTCACAGGCCCCTCTGTCAAGCTGTCTGTTCTGTCCTCCAGTGGGGAAGGGAGTGTTGCCTTGGACAGTTTCCGGGCTGCCAGCCTCTTCTGAAACGCCACAGCGTGGCTGAGAGGAAGAACACAAAAAAGCACAATCACCTCCCGTGTCTGGCTCTTTCTCCTCCACGGGCCGGCACAGAGGACCCTGGGCGCTCACCTCCTGTCTCCCCTGGCCTGCGTCCTGTGGGGGATGACGTGGGACAGAGACTGAAGCTGGGAAAGCCAGATGCTCCCACAATGCCAAAGATTTGCCGCGTGAGGAAGCCAAGCCATCACCCGGTGTCGGCCCGGACTTGCCGACGGTCTTCGCACTGATCTCCGGAAACCGCTAGAGATTTTATTTTTCAGATGCCACTTTAATTAAAAGAAGGAGAAGGAGAAATGAGGAAGCTGCTGCTGCCTCCTAATAGCAAAGACAAGGGTTGCTGTTTTAATTTAAAATGTTCCAAGTGCAATAAATGCTTCCATATTTTCCACACTGTCTTTTGAATTAGTAAAAGTTAACAAGAGGTGGGCTGTGGTGGAAATGCTCCCAAATGGCTTGTACCTGGCAGTGGGTGTTGGAATTTGGAAGGTGTAGATAGGCCTTAGAGGTGAGGTGATGCGTGGCAGGTGAGGAGAGAGGCTAAACAGGAGACCTGTGGTAGGTACGATGATTTGGGGTGAATATGAAGGGGGAAAGGAACCCCTCAGGCTTCTGTTGGGACCAGACAAGTGGAGAGAAGCTAGCAGGACCCAGGAAGGGAGGAGAGTGTTTTAAGATGTTTGCATTATTCTTCCTGTCTGTTCCTGGACTGTTCCTGGGATCCAGGTGTTACCAACGTGTTCCTGGGCACAGACTTTTATCCCAACACACAAGTGTGTACATGCAGCCTATTGGCATAGGGAAGAATTGATCTTGGACCTAGAGATTTTCAGCACAGGGGAAATTGGGCTTCCCAGTCAAGTAGATGATGACAAAATTTGCAAAATTCCTAAATACATGGCTTTTATGCAAAATGAAACAATTGCTTAAATAAGCTGTTCTCAAGCTGGTGCCCTCGAGATGGTTTGTATTTCACCTACTGCCAGCCCCAGTCAGCTGGTCCAGTGATCAAGGAATGCAGAAAGTTGTCCAAAACATCTGGAGGGCACCAGGTTGGGGAAGGCTTAGTTAGAGGAAACCAGTAAAGCTTGGACCAGCAGCTCTTTCTATAACCAGGGGTGATTCAGGAAGGAAAGACAGAAATGGGGAGCTTATGGTTGCCAAAAAAAGCCAATGGGGAGGCACTGGAGCCAGAACAGGCAACCTTCTATATCTCTATAGGCAGATTTGGAAAGATGAGCAACTGTTCTGGCAGTTGATTGGTCGAGGTGGTGTTATGATTTCCTGAGCAGCAAGATCTGGGTAATAACTTAGTACAGAAAAGGGGGTTTGCAAATTCCAGAGTTCCCCGGTCCTGAGTTTTTAAAATGCCACATTTTGGAGAATTTTTTTTTCCCGATTTATATCCTGCCTTTTTCCTGCAAAGGGCTCAAGGCAGCTTACATCATTCTCCTCCTCCATCTTATCCCCACAACAACCACCCTGTGAGGTAGGTTGGGCTGAGAGTCTGTGACTGGCCCAAAGTCACCCAGTTGGCTCCATGGCTGAGCGGGGACTAGAACCCAGATCGCCTGAGTCCCAGTCCCATGCTCCTAACCACTACACCACACTGTCTCTCCACACAGATTTTTCTTCACAGCTCATGCTTTCTGCCCATTCTAACCTCATTCCAAACCTCTAGACCAGGGGCCGGCAACCTTTAACACTCAGAGCCATTTGGACCCGTTTCCCACACAAAAGAAAACACCAGGAGCCTCAAAACCTTTTTGAAATCTAAAATGAAGATAACACTGCATATATCAGTTTTTACCTTAATGCTATGTATATCTTCATTATGAATTAGCTGCAGCTGTTTACTGTTATTTTTAACCTTACATTATAAACTAGTAGGACTCCTTTCATATATTTTGAATAGGAGAACAGCTTCCTGAAGAGTCAAAGCCAGTGCTAAAGGGCTGCGTGCATTAAACAGCAAACCCCATAAGTTCGTCAGCAGTAAAAGCAAATGAATCTACCCACGTACCATTAAATGTTCAGTTTTCTTCAGAAACTTTTCTTCCATTTATCCATGGCCTACCGGGGAAGTCGCAGATATAGGTGTGTTTAGTGACTGATTAGCAGATAAACAGTCAAGTGCTGTGAATTGTGACAGGTCCCAAGCACAGTTTTTATCATTCAGAGGAAGGAGATTACATTGGGACAAAGAGAATCTTTTCAGCAGTTTGTTTCATGTAACATGAGAGCCTGCAGGAAGCTTGTTCCACTCTTCCCCTGCAATGTTGCAATTTACTTAACCTGCTAGCGCAGCATTCCTGAGTGGATGCCTCATTATCACCTATTGGTATTTTGTAACTCGGTCGCAGATTGGCGGCTGTGACATGTATTTTGGGCAACGGAGCAGCAGCAGAGGGATTCAAGAGCTATGTGCAGCTCCAGAGCCACAGGTTGCCGACCCCTGCTCTAGACCATGGGTCCTCAAACTACGGCCCGTGGGACAGGTCCAGCCCGCCATGGCCATCCATTCGGCCTGCACTGCTGTTCGCCACCCGCGTGCTTGCTGCACAGGTGGGGAGGTGGTGGCTTGCTCACTCAGAGATGATCTCCAAGCGAGCAAGTCGCCTGCCTCCCGTACGCTCACGGTAGGGAGTGGGGGGAGGTGGTGGCTCGCTCAATTGGAGATGGTCTCAGAGTGAGCAAACGGCCACCGCAGATTCCCGACGGCACCTTGCCAGCCCATGCCCCCAGGTAACCCCACCTCACCAGACCACACATGTAGCCGCTGCCTTTCAACTGGCCCCCTATCAAAAAAATTTGAGGACCCCTGCTGTAGACCTTCTTGGGAAACCTAGTGTTTCAAACCTTAAGCTGGAAACAAACCCTACCCCTAATTTGGGACTCAAATGCACATACCTCAAGATGGATTTTCAAAATGCCACATTTTGGGTGATTTTTTTGTCACAACTCAAGCTTTCTGGGTTCTCAAACCTCATTCTACTGGCTGGGACCTTTGTGGGGACCCTAGTTTTTCAAACCCTAACCTTATCCTGGACATCAACCCTAATGTGGGACAAAGATGCCCTCAAGATGGCTTTTCATACTGTCACATTTTGGCTGGTTTTCTTCAGATCTTGTGGTTTCTGCCCACTATAAACTTGATCCAAGCAACTAGAACTTCATGGAGACCCTAGTTATTCAAACCCTAGTTATTCAAACCCTGGACCTTATTCCACAGGCCACCCTGGAATTTAAATAGCCAATCCTCCAGATTTCCAAAATGCTCAATTTTAGAAGGATTTTTCTCAACAGCTATTTCTGCCCATTCTATGTGTTTCTAAAGCCTCTTGACCTTCATGTTAACCCAATTTTTCAAACCCTATCCTTAACCTGGACATTACCCCAACTCTAATTTGGGACTCTAATATCCATACCTCAAGCTGGACTTTCAAAATACGACAATTAAGGTGATTTTTCTTCACAGCTCATGCTTTCTGTTCACTCAAAACTCATTCCCTGGGTCTAGCTCTTCTTCAGGACCCTAGTTTGTCAAATCCCAACCCTGCTCTGGACATTAACCCCTCACTCTAATTTGGGGCTGAGATGCTCAAAGCAGAAATGTTGGGTGATACTCCTTCACCACCTTTCCTCTTTGCCCAGTCTAAACTCATGGGAAGCTTCTAGAACTTTGTGGGGACCCCAGTTGCTCAGACCCTGACTGTAATCTGGACCCCTAGTTAGGAAACATTGGCATACAGCCAGAGTGTTAACATCAGTTGTAGTGCAAGAGGGCAGTTTTCAGGCTTGTAAGATCTACCTTTTCACTAGAACCCAGGAACTAACCAACTAAACCAGAGCCTGGTACACAAATTTACAACATCAAGGGTTTCTTGAGCTGAGGATTTCGTTACTAGTACCAGAACCAAACAGTATTCCTTTCCTCACTAAAATCCACTCCACATCAATCTAATTATTCACATATTACTGCATAATTCATTATTGGGGTATGTGAAGAGTCATTTAGGGCACAATCATACGGACACTGTTCAGAGGTTGGAGCGCCCGCCCCCCGCAAGCCAGCATGGTTCTTGTGTACCGGATATGGCTCTGTGACCATGGCCAACCTCAGAACCAGTGCTTGGCAGGAGGCATTTTGGATGGCAGGGAGTGGTACCTAACAAGCAGAGAAAGGGATGGCAGAGGCCCAGGTGGCTGGATGGGCTCACTGGGGGAGTGGGGGTGGGCTCAGGTGAACTCCGGGGAATGGTGGAGGACAGAAGAACCTGGAGGAATCTTGTCCGTGGGGTTGTGATGGGTCAGACATGACTTTGCGTCTTCACAAAAATGACCCTGCAAGTTGGAGGGTTGCAGGCATCCCAAGTGTACTGCGCCCTTTGCTGCTGCTATTGTTAAAGTGATATTATAGGAGTCAGCAAAAGTGCCCATTAATGCTTTGTTGGTCTTAAAGGAGAATGTGCATTAGAATTTAAAGGAGATTTAAAAGGAGCATCAGCTCAATATGTTCCAGTGTTTTGCTGCAGTCTCTCAAAGGAGGGCGCCACACTGCAGAATATAAATACCATTTCCTGGCTCCTTTACAAGGGCGCAATGAGTTATTCAGTGTCTTTCAGCCTGAAATCAAGGGTGCAGGCATGGTGTGTCATCATCTCAGAAGTATGAACCTGCTGAGGAAGTGAATTAAAGCCATAGTTGCTTTCTTTTGCCACTGAACAACCTGATCACAGGCCATTATTGTTCCATATTTTGTATTTGCATTTATTATTTTTAACATAGCCAGTGTAAGCCAGTAAATACTGCATGCTTCTTAAGCACCCTACATTGCCTTAATATGTATAGAAATAAGTATAGAGAAGAAACAGGCATCTTTGTGTAATTCCTAATGTTTTATTGAACAAGGTTTAACAGGGGAGAAAGTGAAATGTTTGCATTGCTTAACATTTGCTGAGACAGAAGAAGAAGCAAGAGCTAGTTTAAAAATTAACAATTTGCTCTTTTAAGAACCTTTTTTAATATAGGAGAAAATCTCCTAAGAAAAATCTTAGGAGATGAAAGAGCCATGGTCCATTCTCCTGCACTCATTTGCCTCTACATAGATCCCATTAGAGTCGTTGGTGGTTAACCTGCATTAAGACTATATTATCCTGTGTACTTTTTCATGGAAGTGAACTCTATGGGCCAGATAATCACCAAACAGGCATTGCAGAGGTGCATTGTGCTAAATGCACACTTATCTGGCAACAATTCTCATGGAAAAATAAGGGGATTTACTTCTGAGTAAACAAGCACGTAGGCTGTTAAATGCTTACCTTTCTCAGGGGAGACAATTTCTCCCAAATCTTACAATGGTTTTCAAATGCCCCAGCCCAATTTTTGCACTCATTTTTTAACAGTGGCCTTTGTTCTAGGGAGAGAGGTGTTGGGCAGGAGGATCAGGAGTTCAAGGTAAGCTGTCTAACTTCAAAAGAAAGTTGGAGGCATTGCTTTGAGGGTCAAGCAAAATGGAATGCAAGTTGGGTTTGTTTAAATAAAGAAATTGCACAGATAGTTTTGGCTGAAGCCCCTGCCTAACCTGAAGAGCAAAAGCAAGGCTTTGTTTCTTCATCCTTCAGAACAAAAAATGGTCTGCTTCTACTTAATGGCGGTCTAAAAAAATCTTGACTGGTTTCACCTACAGAATAAATGCCAATTTCACCTGAAGGATGTCTGCTCATGCATTGAGAAGATAGGTAGCAGATAGGTGGGCAGAAGATAGGCCTCCAGTTATTGCAGACTTCAGCTCCCAGCGCTTGTGGCCACTGACCATGCTGGCAGAGATTCTGGGAGCTGAAGTCCCAAAGAGCTGCCAGTTTGCCTCCTGGCCATCTGTCCCCATAACTGCCAGGAGGAAATGAAGGCTCAGATGGGGCAAGGACTGTCAACTCCACCTCCAGTTCCCATAGCTGCTCTTTCACCAGAGGTTTGACCTGCAGCTTCTAGGAGGCAGTTTTGGTACTCCTCTCTGTCCTGTGCCTTCCACATACTAACAGAGAGAGGCAGCAAGCTTGGGAGAACTACAGGTTTGGGGGATCCAAAGCACGGCCCGGTGTGGACAAAGCATGCCCAAGGGCCAAGGAATGACTGGCAGGCAAATGAGGCAGCAGAAATGGAACTGAGGAACCAGAATCCTCATGGCAATATTGGGTGATGCTGGATGCGGGGAACCTGTGATCCTGCAGATGCTGCTGGACCTCACCCCTCCCCAGGGCCAATGGGAGTTGTATTCCAGCCACATCTGGAGGGCCACAGGTTCCTCACGCCTGTCTTAGAGAAAGTTAGATAAGAAAGCAATTTCTCCCCCCCCCCCCCCCCGCCCCTGTCCTGTTTCTCAGTGTGAGCCACCAGCCAAGATAGATTAAAGAAAAGGTTCACTGAATCAAGGCACTTGAACTGGAAAGAGCTTCCAGCTTCTGCAGGGCTCTGCAGCTCATTTGGACATCACATCGGAGGATTCAGACACCAGTTTGCCATCTCGGGTCTCGATTTTCTTGATCACAATGGCCTTTGTCTTCGAGACTGCCGAACTCTCCAGTGGGGAGATATGCATGCCATAGCTACCCCCACTGGAGAAGGAAGAGCTGTAGCCACCGCTGAACCCACTGCTCAGGCCACCTGGATTTAGGATGGAGAACAGTTTGATTAGAGACAGAACACCATGCTAAAATTGGAAGCAAGCATCATTCCTGGGGAAGTGGATGGGGAGAGATACTTCTTCATGCCCAGAGAACCCAGCAGCAGGGAGGCCAGGTCAGCTCTTGCTCCTCCTCCCCACCACCGGCATCACCCAGACAAGAGCAAGAGGCAGGTGAGCAAGCCGCTTGCCAGTGGGAAGAAAAGGAGCAACACAGTGTCTCCTTGCCAGGCAGGAGGTGGACCCTTAGGAGGCGGTGGCACAGGCATCCTTAACCCAGCCCCCCCCCCCCGGGTGCTGCTGCTGCACTCATGCCAGAGGATAAAAAAGGGGAATGCACAATACATGGGGGCCTGAATAGCAAATGCATGCCATGTGGTGGCCTGATTTGTACAGGTATCTTTTACTGATCCTTCAAGTGTTTCAAGCCACGGTCATTTGTCTTCCAGAGAAACAGCTGAAAGCTGTGCTTTCCCCCCACCTCCCTTTTTTTTCTTTTCTGCTGGCCTTTGCTCTGATGCAGCTTAATCTGCAGGCACAAGCAACTGATAATTTAACTCCATGCCATGAGAAACTCCTCCTCCTGATTTCTGCTGCTGAATGAAAGGGAGCAGGCCTTTTCTTCCATTTTTTTGCTCAATTGACAAATGTACCCAAACACCAACCAAAAGAAAGGGACAACCTTGCAAGAACAGCAATATAACCTACATGCAAGTGGGTTTGATAATTCTCTTTTCGTGCTACCCTAATGTGTGTGTGCCTCATGTGTGGCCCTCTAAATTCAGTCCTCACAGTGTAATGAAGTGTGACGTTTGCTTACCTGAATAGCCACTTGTTTTGGTATGGATGCTCAAGTTCTGCATGCCTGCTTCCAGCCTACCAAGGATAAGAGAAGAGGGGCAAGTTGTGAGAAACAGCTGGGGAAAATATAAGTGCTGAAAACAAGGACTGCACTCAGCACAGAGTTTGTTGATACACTGTTGGCCCAAACCAAATACACTATTGGCCCAAACCAGGTACACTAAATAGAGCAGAGGTAGGATGATGGGTTTCGGATATGAAACTCTTGGTAGATCTCTGGGTATTTGTAAGAAATAAGTAATGGATCATTAAGGATTTCTGACTCCCAACCATTTGACAGTGGTAGAACAAATGACGTCCATGCAAGAAAGCCTGGGGTAATCCAGAAGAGGGTTTTTGCAGGGAAGGCCTATGAGACCCATTTAGTGCAGGCACAAAATTCCTGGGCTCAGTATTCTTTAAGACTAAGTCAGAGCAGACCCACTGAAATTAACAGGACCTGAACCTAAGTCCCAAGACATTAAAGTTCGTGGAGTAAGTGACACTGCTCCAAATATGACTAGATCTGGAAACAAACACTGCCTTTCTCACCAAGAACTGGGCAAGAGATCTCTGGGAGCAAACTAGTTAAATAAAAGCACCAGTTAGATGCCATGAGCCTGAGGTCTGCCCATTCCGACAGCAAGAGTCCGGACAATGGGCACAAGTGCCACCACCTGAACTTTCCCAAGTTGGTCCTCACCTGTTCTCCTCTCCTTCCAGCAGTTTCCTGTAGGTGGCAATCTCAATGTCCAGGGCCAACTTGACATTCATCAGCTCCTGGTATTCCCGCAGCTGGCGGGCCATGTCTTGCTTGGCTCTCTGCAGGGCATTCTCCAGCTCAGCTAGTTTGGCGGTAGCATCCTTGATGGCCATCTCCCCACGTTCTTCGGCCTCCGTGATGGCAGTTTCCAGGTTAGCACGCTGAGGTTGAGGAGGTGGAGAAGAGGATAAAGAGAGGAAGGTGAGTGCCCATTGGTTTGCTGTTCACAAGCGGGGGACAGAAAGAGAGAAAGGACTGCTGATAATGGCCACCAGCAGACCCTTGGCACAGGCAATCAATAAGCCCTATTAAGGGAACTCATTTCTGCTTTTGCTGCTGGTCTTTTTAAAGTTTTGCCAACTGATGTTTTACTTGTTGTTGTTTGTTTGCTTTAGTTTATTGCTAGCTGCCTTGGAAGGGAGTAGCAAAAATATTTTAAAATAAAAATGTAAATAAGAGTTTTTCAAGGCAATGGTAACCAAGCTTGCTAGCTTAGCTTGTCTCTCCCTCCCTCCCCATAAAAACTGAGATTTAAGTTCCACGGGACCCAACTCTTTTGCTTCTGGGATTATATAAGGGGAGCAACAAACACGGATGGTGCGGTATCTACCACAAGCAAAGTTCTAGCTTTCTGCTGCCTCTTGCTTCCTGACCTGGCCTTTCAGTCCGTCGATTTCAGACTGTATCCGGGTGATCATCCGGTTGAGCTCATTGATTTCATTCTTGGTGTTGCGGAGGTCATCTCCGTGCTTGCCTGCTGCTGTCTGGAGCTCTTCATACTACAGGAGGAAATAAAGGGGGCAAATGTGATACACACATTTGGAAAGCCTTGCAAGAGTGCAACCAGCAGCAGGTGAGAGTTAAGAGTCACCGGCTTCAGGAATGAGCTGCCTGGCAGCCAGTCAAAGGGGAAGTGGCCTCTTTCCTGTGCTACAATTTCTTGACTAAATTAGATCAGAGATCCTACTTGGAACAGACCAATAAAATAAATAACACTTAAATTAGACTAACACCAGACACACTCAACGGACCAGGGATGGGGAGCAGGAGGCCCTCCAGCTATCCTCAGACTGAAGCCGCTGTCCATCCTGGCTGACCCAGTCAGTGGTGTGGGATGCCAGGAGCTGCAGTCCAGAAACATCTGCAGAGCCACACACTCACAAGGTCAATATAGACAGACGGGAAGCACATCTGTGCACACCACGGGAAAGGACAACCTCTTCAGCATGCAGAAGGATTGCAATACAGCACAGGGATGACTCAGAAGTAGGCTGGGATCCCCTGTTTGATCTTGGCATGGTTTGTAGAGGAGAACAGCAAGAATCTCTGATTTAGGTCTAAATCCCTCAGTTGGAATCCCTGATCTGTAGTACCAACAAGCCAGTTTTTATATGTGCAAGCACAATTTACTCATGCTTGGTTCCTGGCTTTCAGTAAGGTTGTGTGACTCTGGTCCAGCTGGGCAATTTCAGGGTTCTAGGAAGCAGGAAGAGGAGAAGTGGCAGCAGAAGATGGAGATGATGGCCCTGCAAGCTTGAAGTCTGCCCTCCCATCATCTTCTCTGTACTGGACTTGGAAAGCAGAGACCAGGTTTAAATCTCTGCCTAGGCAGGAAGCTAATTCTGTGGGCTCTGACCAAGGATCTCGCTCTTTTCCCTGGCCCCACAAGCTCCCCAACAGGAGTTTTTTTAAGGATGCAAGACCACCAATTCTTGAAGCCCTTGGAGCAATAATAATCTGCATGTATAATCTCCTCAGGATTTTCAGCTCTTTTCAAAAATAGTGGAGCAAGGGTGAGTTATGAGCTAGGAAATACCTCATAAACCACACCTCAGCCAGGAACTCTCCTTCAGTGGCCTGAGGCAAGCCATTATCCCTTTGCCCCACCTTCTCCCCTCTGCAACCTGAAAATTACCATCGTAGCCAGCCGTTGTCACTGAGGTAATATAGACATTATGCACTTTGGAAGGCTCAAAACAAAAAACACTCCACGCCACGTTAGGATGACGAATGTGGTGGATGCCAAACTGCAGCTTCACACACACACACCCCTAGCGCAAACATCATTGACAGTCCCCAGGTGACTGGTGCAAAAAAGTACACTCCCATCCCTAATTGCCCCCCCCCCCCCCCCCGGTAGCCCTCTTCCCCAAGGTCACCCCCATGCCCACATTCCCAAGATCAGGGCAGAAACCAGGATAGGCAGTGCTGATGGGTGGACTCTGGATTTTGGGGGCTTTTCAGAACCTGTTGATTGCTTCCCACAATACTACAAGGCTGGCTGCACCAGCAAGTGAAGGTTGGCTGACAACTGAGTGCAAAACTTGCACAATATGAATTGAATCCAGAATCTGCCCTCCACAAAGGGAAGGGCTCCATTTGCAGAAGGTCCAACTACCCCATTTGGGGGGAATCCCTTCCTTCCTGCCTCCTACACCACAGCTTAACCACATTCAGCAGGATTTCTCACCTTCCTCGATAGCAGCTTTAGGGGTGCTTTCTAAAGAAAGTCACAGGCTAATCATGCACCGGAAGAAAACTAGTCATTAGTGCAGGATTCTATAGCCATGGGGCAGGCTGGCTGGGGATCTTAGGATTTGCAGTTCAAAACGTCTGGAGAGCCGTCAACAGCTGCAAAGTTGGTTGAATTTCTTCAAGTGAAGTTGCTCTACCACCACCTCTCCTGCTGTGTATGCATGCTAGAAAACATTTGGCTGTTGAATTTCTGTGTATCCCATTAGCTTTTAAAGGAGCTCAGCTGAAAACCATTTGTCCCACACACTCAATCAGGTGTAGGCAACCTGGTCCCTTCCAGATGTTTTGGCCAGCTCCCATAAACCCTGACGTTTATCCAGGCTGACTGGGGACTGGGGGAATTGCTGTCCAACACATCTGGAAATAGCATTTCCAGCAAGAGTTTGTCCATCTTTTTTTCCTTCCAGATAGCACAACTCTCCATTTACTCTGTAGCTCCACTGACCTCTTCCATTTGAAAAATGAGAGTTTCAACTCATTTCTGGCTTAAGGGTGTGGAACCTCAGTCCCAGGGGCCACATCTGGCCCTCTAGGATTCCCCAAATGGCCATGCCTCCTTCCCCTAGACCAGGGGTCGGCAACCTTTAACACTCAAAGAGCCATTTGGACCCATTTCCCACAGAAAAGAAAACACCGGGAGCCACAAAACCCTTTTGAAGATAACACTGCATATATAGTTTTTTACCTTTATGCTATGTATAAAAAAACTATAGTGTGTTGCATTTATGAAATCAATGAACTGCTACAGAGAAAACAAATTTTTATTTCTGCATGCAACAAAACCATTTTGAACTCCGAAAAAAGACACCAGGTTGAAAGTTACTTTCAAATAAAATACTCAATGTCTATCCTCGTATTTATGAAATATAAAGCTGAACTTATATTATCCACTAGCAGCAAACCAAAAATGCCGTCTGCTTCTGTGTGTCCTCATTCTTTTATCACGTGGTGAAATATCGAACAAACATCCCTCTCCCAATGTAATAATGTTGCTGGAATTTTTATAAGAATCTTCTTAAAACAAAGAAGTAGATCTATATCTTCATTATGATTTAGCTGCAGCTCTTGTTCAGTCACTAAAAACTGTTATTTTTAATCTTACATTATAAACTAATAGGATTCCTTTCATCTATTTTGAATAGGAGAACAGCTTCCTGCAGAGTCAAAGTCAGTGCTAAAGGGCTACGTGCATTAAACAGCAAACCCCATAAGTTCGTCAGCAGTAAAAGCAAATGAATCTACCCACGTACCATTAAACGTTCGGTTTTCTTCAGAACCTTTTCTTTTCTTTGGATTTATCCATGGTTGGAGAGGGGGAAAACTCAGTAAACCTGAGCTGGTCGCAGATATAGGTGTGTTTAGTGACTGATTAGCAGATAAACAATCAAGTGAATTGTGACAGGTCCTAAGTCCAGCTTTTAACATTCAGATGAAGGAGATTACATTGGGACAAAGAGAATAATCTTTTCAGTTTAGTTTTGTGTAACATGAGAGCCTGCAGGAAGCTTGTTTAGCAGAGGAATGTAGCGATTTACTTAACTAGCTGATTTACTTAACTAGCTAGCGCTGCTGTTCCTGTGGAGCTTCGAGCAGATCAGCGGCTGTGCCAGTGCGTGTTTTGAGCTACGGAGCCGCAGCAGAGGGATTCAAGAGCCACGAGTGGCTTCAGAGCCGTGGGTTGCTGACCCTTGCCCTAGCCCTACCCCTTTCTTCATCATGGCCTCTGTGCATCACACATTATTGGTGCTGCTCCTTCACACTGCCTGTTGCACTAGTAGTAAGAGCTGTATACTAAAATGTGCATCTTTTTTCCATTTTGGCCCCACCCCTTTGCCATTTGGCCCACCCACCACTGGGAATCCACTCCTTAGGATTGGTCCACTGAGCTGCAAAGAGCTTCCCCATCCTTGCTGAAGGGAGCAGTGGGCAGCTTCCCTTTCCACCAGCCATTACCAGGCACTACCCATAATCTGTGATGTCTCACTTGCATGAAGCTGATGACCGCCCACTGAGATCTCTTTAGAAGTAAAAAGTCAAAGGGTTTTTCTGCTTATTGCAGTCACAGCTCCTGAAACAGGGATAATCTATATGAAGCTGAATCTATGAAAGGTTGGAGAGATGGCAACTCTATTTTGCCAGCCCCACCAGAACACCCTGGAAAGAGGAAGAAGCCAGGGACTCACCTTGATTTGGTAAACACTCTCTGCTTCGGCCCGGCTCTTGGCTGCGATTTCTTCGTACTGTGCTTTGACCTCAGCAATGATGCTGTCCAAGTCCAGGCTGCGGTTGTTGTCCATGGACAGGACCACGGAGGTGTCGCTGATCTGGGACTGCAGTACGCGCAGTTCCTGCATGGCGAGGAAATGAAAGGCAATGCATTTCCAGGCCAGGCTGAGCAATATTCCGACTTAAAATTATGCCTTACGTCCCAAAATTATGGACCAACTCTATTCCACATGGGTTTTCTAATTAATTATATTGCTCCTAGGATCTGAACAGTCCACACTAATTAAGAATGGGTGGCAAATACAAAAGCTCTGAGGTTAGGATGATGGCTGTAAAGTCAGAGGGGCAGGATGCTTTTGCCATGAAGAGTTCTGTGTATCTAGGGGAATTTAAATGGGCTTTCTTCTCTGTGTCTGGCAGGGCTATTTGAGACTTTAATAACATTTCTGGCTGCCTGTGGAAAGAAGTGCCACTGCTCTCTGCTTTACAGGCCCTCCTTGGCGTTCCCCAGGCAGGTCCCACCCTGCCATCTGGTGAAGTGAGGCAACTGCCTCAGGCAGCGGATGCTGGAGAGTGAAGCAAGGGAGGCATGTGCATGTGACCCAGCCTGCCCCTCAACACCAAGTCAGACTGCTGTGGAAGACACCTTCTCGTCACCTATGTTGACCTAAGAATCAGGTCAGTGGGAGGGCGAATCCCATCTTGTCTTAGACGGCAAAATGTCTTGGTCTGGCCCTGTTCCCAGCAAATAAGAGAACCTTTGGGTTATGGGGCAGCATAGAAATGGAATTAAATGAATAAATAAAATAACGTTTATTTAGAAGGCTGAATTGTGCCTTTTGACAGTGCGTACCTCATCATACACCTGCCTCAGGAAGTTGATCTCATCAGACAGGGACTCCAGGCGTGATTCCAGTTCAATTTTGTTCATATAGGCCTCATCCACATCCTAAGGGGACAAGGGGCAAAACATCACCATAACAGAGACTGCTGCAAGGCCATCCAGAGACAAGAGAATTAAGTAGAGAGTCCACTTAGAGAGTCCTCAAATTAATGTAATGTGAAATATAAATTGAAACAATCAATAAATAAGAAACATGCAGTGTAACCACATGTGAATTACTAAAAAGAGAGGAAAGACATCACCCCCCAAAAAGTACAAAGACCAAACTAAGCTTGAAATGTGCACGTGCTAATTGTGATGTATATATGTAAATTTAGAAATTACTACTATAATTTACACAGAACTATGGCATTTCGTGAGCGGAGTCGGCTGGTGCCGGAGGTCAGACTAGATGGCCCGGGAGACCCCTTCTGACTCGCTCAGTTTCTATGTTTCTGTCTCACCACAAGCACAGAAGACTGTGTCCAGGTGATTTGTTTGCTGCCCATGTGCTCACCTGCAGGTGGGCAACTTCAAGGCTCAGCTCTTCCTTCTGATAGCTCTTTATCTTATGATATTGGAAATAGATGGGGCAATCCTTCAAACAGAGGACCATCCTCTGTACGAGAAGACACCTGGACACCCTGTAGACATGATAGGCCTTCACTCACCTTCTTCAGAAGGACAAACTCATTCTCCTTCTCCGTACGATTGTTGATTTCCTCTTCATACCTGTTGGAGAGAGGAACTGGATTGATTAGTTTACAGGTTCCAAGTTACCTGGGATGGTTTACTTTGAAGCAGGGTTATGTGCTTTTGGTGCCAAAGCTCCTGCTGGAAACATGTATTGGCAATGCATTTGAGCATGTGCAAAGTTCCTACTTCTCCCAAGTAAGCACAACCAGGCCATGCACTTTAGCAGTTAGAATTCAAGAGCCCCTGAATTCGAGAAGGCAGCTGGAACTGTACTTCCCACTCAGTCTCAATGCCTCTCCCTTAATAAATAAATCAAGATAAGGACAAACTTTGAGCTGGCCTCATTTCCAAATTAAGATGTCAATAAACCAAATCTTACAATTTCATTTAACAACCTAAAATACTACAACATACTGAAGTATTTTATTACTTTTATAAAAGCCAAATACTGGTTAGATGTGTGCTATACAGCATTCTCCAAAGAACACCTCCTCAGAAGTAAGTCCCATTAAATTTACTGGGACTTACCTCCAGCATGTGGGCAGAGAATTGCAGCCTTAATGACATTACAGTCCATAGACTGATTGAGGTGATACGAATTACACAGTCTTCTCATACATATGGGCGATACCAGATCTAGATACACCCATCACAATTCATATTTAGTTCTGACTACATTTAGGGGTCTGCTGCCTTCTTTGGTGGCACCACCAGGACTAGGCCTTGACCTACAGCCCAGGGGACTCCCAAGTGGCCACCCAAAGAGCGGCGGCTAATAAGGGCACAGCAGCAGGGTAGGGAGAAGCAAACTCCATATTACTCCTGCAGTCATGGCAGGTGAGTTTCTAAAGTGGAACTGCACACAAAGTATTATTTTTAAATCAGGGTTAGCAAGCAATTTTGCTGTAGTAAAATACAGGGAAGGTAGAAACACTTGCAAGGGGAGGAGTGGCAAAGTAGCAGTGAAAGACACAGGGCACAGAAGGGCCCCAGAGGGCCGCTCCTCTACCCATATGCACCAGCGAACAATGGCAGTGGGGAGAAAGAGGGGCAGGAGGCGCTCCGGCTTATTTGCTTCTTGGCTCCCTGCCTGCCAAGCAAGCAGAAGCACCGCCGAGGAAGAGTATGCAGAATCAGAGCAGCTGGGCAAGGGGAGGGGGGGGTCACTGAGAGAGGGGCTCCATGGAGGGAGTCTTCTGGATTCCCCACCTTCTAAATTCAGTATTTATTGACACTGTGACACACCAACTTAAAATCAAATAGACAGCATGCCCTCTTGGTTAAATTTCTACTAGGAAAGTACAGTTGCCTTCTAAGATGTTAGTAACACAGAATGACGGGCATCACCTCCAGTAGGTCCACTCCACTGGACAGTGTGCCTTCCAGTGCAACCCCAGGCGTGTCTGCTCAGAAGAGGCAGACCCTTGTCAGTGTAAGGGAAGTGCTGTCATCAGATCCTTACTGTGCTGTGGCCCCATGGCAGCTGCCCACCCGTGCCTGTGGTTGCCACTGACATTGCATCCTGTCCCAAGCAGGCATATCTGCAAAGCTGGTGAATAAAACAATAACTCCCACTAGCATTTTCCTTATTGACTAAGCATTGTGCTCAGTGAGTTCCTTACTTCTTGTTTTCTTATTGCACTTACTTCCAGATAAGAGAGGAAACATACACTTCCAGTAATGCTGGTTGAATGATCTATGATTATTGCAATGTGCTATGGCTTAGGGACATGAGCCACTGATGGATTTTAATTTATTAAGCAGTATAAAAGTACTACAAATAAGCAAACAGGCAGCCAATGACCCATGAAGAATGCGTATGAGTTCCGGCTATTTTCCAAAAACGTACAACTACATAAATTAAATCATCTATTCATGACCAGGGAAGTGTAATATGCATATTCACCAATAGGTTTTGGGAATATGCCTTTTTCAACAGGTTTTGGAACATTCTTTGGACAACAGAGAGATTCTCCAGTCAATATGGAACATCTCCAGCTGGGAACTGGGTTGCAGTTAATTCACATTGACAAAATTTCAGGCAAATTCGCACCCTGAAAAGGCACAACAGGGGCTATCTCTGGTAAACCGGGCTGTGTCAAGGAGGTGCACTCAGAGTCCTTTGGAGCAGAAGTCCAGGGCCCTACCAGGTAGAGTGAGCATGAGGCTCCCCAAAGACAGAGGCTGACAGCCTTTTGAAATCAGGGATATTATGCATTTTAGTTTCTAAACAGCCCAGTGCTTAAGACCACGAGAAGTGGGTAAACCCATTCCTGAAGGCCACTGCTTCTGAAAGCCACTGCTCCCCCCACTACAAATGAGCATTACTTCCAGAGCCTGAATTTGTGCATCTGCAATGTAATGGTTAAAGTTTCCAGGGCTAGGGCTTGACTCGGCATATAAGGGTGTGTGTCTCCTTCTAAAGGTCCTCAAGGGAAGGAGTTAAATTTCAGAGGGGTTACTAGAGGTCCCACTCTCATCCTCTCCCCCATTCTAGAGCACCTCCTTTCCCCAACATGTCCCTGATTGCAGCAATACAGGCATGACAACAAATGTCTCTTGAAAATGCAGAGGCAATAATCCTTTATGGAAATGGGTTAGGAAGGCCTTGAGATCTCAAAAAGCAAAACCCACTGAGTATAAAAGGTGCCTCCTTCAATTTCCAAGATCAAACACTCTTCCTGCTTCTGAATCAAAGTTTTTAAAACACTGACAACTCTAGTAACAATGGCATGTATCCAATGTTAATCCTACTTAAGATAATGTTAATCCTACTTAAGTATCCAGTGTTAATCCATGGCTAACCTAAGTCCCATTCATTTCAATGGCTCTGCTCAAAGTAGGACTAACACTGGATACACTCCCTGTTCCCTGTGTTGTAGCAGACCACTCTCAAAATAATGCATGTTTTGAGTTGGATCTGGGAAGACAACTGTGTCAGTGTCTCACACGCATGCCAGCTCCATTTAGAAGGAGTCGGACACTTGCAAGACAGGTTTGTTTACCCTGCTCGTGGTGCGTTGCTGCAACAGTAATTCTGCATAGTACAGGAGGAACTGGAAACTCAGAAATTTGATGTGCATACTTGTCTGAAGAGACAACATCAGGTAAAACTGCCACATGTAAGATTACCTCTGAGCACTGCTAAGTTTCTACAGCACTGCCTGGCTTCCCTCTGAGCATTTCCAAGGAGTCAGAGCACCATTTATTTAAAGTATTGGGCTGGTTTCCACAAAAGTCATCCCTTGCAGCTCCTCCTTGGAACCAACTCACATACCTCAAATTATACCAACCTTCCTCAACTTGCTGCTCCCTGGTTGTGTTGTACTAAAACACCCAGTATCCTCCAACCAGCCAAATTGTATTGTTGCCCAACACATCTGGAAGGTGCCAGGCTGGAGATGGCTAAATTATGTGCCAATCTTAATACCGACCAGGTTCCTTCTTCACAGTGGAGTCCTATACAAGCCTATTCAGAAGGGAGCCCCACTGATTGCAATAGGCCGTACTTCCATGTAAGCAGGCATGGAATTGCAGACTTATTGGGGAGCACTGTGGACATACTTGAGGGTCCTGAGAATTCTAGGAATTCTCTGACTACAAAACGCAGTCCCTAAGATTTTCTGAGAGGAGAAAAGAATGATTAAACCTGGTTAAGCCCATGGTGCGACTATGGCCTATGAGATCAGAGATTTTACATCTGCATGCATCAGACAGAAGGGCCTCAAATAGCATCATAGGGGAAACTGACCCCAAGTCATCACCAATCATTGCTCATTTCAAAGAGGAGATGCCCAATACCTGTGAGGGCTAGCAACTTGGGGTTCACATAATAGTTGCAAAAAGCCAAATACTGCACCAGATTCCAGGGTGTGGAGTTTCCACAGATGTGACAGTCGAATGGGCTTACTTTAGGACTATTTACCCAGAGGAAGAAGTGATGATGAAAATGCTGTAGCCATTCTCCCTCCCCGTACTCACTTTGTCTTGAATTCTTCCACCAGGCCTTGCATGTTACTGAGCTCCAAATCCAGCCTCATTCTCTCCTGGCCCAAGCCCTCCAGCTGCCGGCGCAGGTTGCTGATGTAGGCTTCAAACATGCCATCCAAGTTGCTTCGGGTGATCTTCTGGTTCTGCATGAGGTTCCATTTGGTATCCAGCATCTTATTCTGCTGCTCCAGGAAGCGAACCTAGAAGACAACAGAGGGGGGTGCGTCCAGTGAAAGAGTCCACAGGGACAGACATGTATATAAGAGAGCAAATGAGTGTGTTTCATCACACACCAAAAGGACATCTTCTTTGGCATAATCACCATCATCCCATAGCAAGAAGGACATTCATAGCAGCAGGCAAATTTTCAGCTTCTCCTAGAGAGTTTCAGCTGTGGGGCAGTACAGAAATGAAATAAAAATAATAAATTGACTAGATCAGTAATTCTCAAACTCAGCCCTAAACACCCTGGTTGCTGCAAGACGACTGCATAGCAGCAGGCAATTTGGTGCCCACCACATTTTGGAATACAGTTCCCATCATTCTTTACTATTGGCTATGCTGACTGGGACAGAGGGGAATGTTATATCAACTGGAGAGCAGCTAGTTGTCTGCACAATCCACAGAGAATGCTGTCTGCTGTGACTCTGTATGACACATTTCTTTAAGATTCTTTCCAATCAGCACCTTTTGGGCCAAATAATTTTGCTGTATTTTTGCCAAGTGTGTTGGATATTGACCCATTCCATTTAAATTATTTACTACAAAGATTAGCCATGTTATCCTTTAGAACTGCCTTCTCCATTCTGGTACCTTCCAGAAATTTTGATGGACAACTCCTACAACTCCTAACCACTGGCCATGCTGTTGGACTGGTGGGGGGATATGTCCAAAACATCTGGAAAGAGATGAAGTCCAAAACATCTGGACACTACCAGATGGGGTAGGGTGCTTTAGAGGGAGCACTTTGTACAGTCTTGTTATGTGAAACACCACTTTCTGGCTCAAGAGTGAGATATTCTGCACATGTTCAGAAATATTGTGTCCTTTATCCCATTTTTAAAAATAGCTCCTTTTGCAATGGCAAATCTCTATGCACACTCAGAAATGGACCATTCTTAAGACACTTTTCAGCCTCAACAATACCACAGTTTATGTCTTTTATTGCAGTGTTTTTCACTGTGCTTTAATTTTCAAAAATGACCTTTTAAAAATCTTGTTTGAACTGCCCCGAGTATGGAAAGGCAAGATATCAATCAAACAAGTAAAAAATCAATAAAGTTTGTTTCCCTTCAGGATGGCATTCTGCTTACCCTTAGAGCTCAACATGGTGGAATCTGTGAACGCGGCATCTGAAATACAACTGCTCCCTTAAAACTTGTTTCTCTCTCTTGCTATCTGCCTGGCCAATGCACATTTTGGAGAGAGAAAGAAAAGCGGCAGCTAGGAACCCTAGAATTTATCTTCCTTGTGCCAGTTCCCTGACTTGGGGTGACCCCTTTAACCCAGTTTTGGTTTTTGGTTTGTTTTTTTAAACTTTGGGCCTCCTGGAACTTTAGTGACAGGAAAGCCCATTCTCTTCTACTGATCCAGATGAATTGCTGGGCTCCACCTAGAGGTGAAAAGATAGGGCCTTACAAAGAAAACATATCATGGATCTTTGGGAGTGATTAACTTAGTCTCAGTTTAAGACTAAGATTGAGCTAATACAGGTTGCTCAGGACAGAAAAGAAAGTTTTGCACTTTAGATTGCCCACTGCTAATCTGTTAAAGTTCTTCTCCCTTTACAGAAAAGCAGCCTTCCCCCCACCCCCAACTTTGCATCCTCTGCTTGTGTTGGACTGACTCCCATATTCCTGACTATCGACCATGCCGACTGGAGTTAGTGGGTGTTGAAGGAGAGCAGATTATCAGCCCTTGGAGAATACTTCCCCAACCTGCTTTCTTCCAGATGTTGTAGTCTACAACTCCCATTCATTTTATAAAGCCCAGTCAGTGGTCAGAAATGCTGGAAGTTGTTATCCATCGTATGCAGAATGCACCATGGCCTGATATATAAAGCTGATCCATGAAGGGACAGCTACAACAGGATGAAATGAAAAGCAACCTCTATTTCTTGTACCACAAGAAGCATTAATTATAGGCACAAATCGACATTTGCACACCACTTTGGTAGACAAGCTTCTGTGCATATACAAAATAGTGAGAATGGTTGCTTAGTGAAGATACGGAGGCTCAGTTCTCATTTCTGGAGATCTATTTTCTGCTGTAAGCAACAGGAGATTTACAATAGAATTTAAAGAGAGGTTTGGCTTTGTTATGGTATGGAGATATATTTCTATGAATTCACCACTGCCTCTGATCAAGCAGGTTTTGAAGCCACACAAAAACCTGCCGATCCTCTTTAACAGGGGCAAAAGTATACACCCTGAGCAGCAATCCTGCTTTCATCTGTTCCCAACTTCAGCTATCTCAGACAGCCATAAGCTAGAAGAGGAGGAAATTACACTGTATCAAAGGCGGTGCTGAGTTTGTGGTATGGCTAACTAAACCTCAAGCCTGTTTTTAATGGCAGAATGGAAGAGCCTTGCAACATGGTAGGTAACAACAATGCAGAGAGTACCTTTGAGGATATGCAGAGTGCATTTCTTAAACACAGCCAGCCTAGCCCTTCACTTATTGAAGATGATGTGAAAATGCTACAGTGGCTGTTATGGTTAAAGAGAGCCAGATCCAATATAAACAGAGTGTCACTTAGCCACGAAGCTTTGGGCAGATAATTGATTCTCAGCCTAATATACTTCAGTGGTTCAGTTGTGAGGATAAAATGGAGAGGAGGGAGATCATGTAAATTGCCCAGGGCTCCTCAGAGGAAAAGGTGGGCAATAAATGTAACAAATGTACTGCAGCAGTATGGGTGGGCTATCCTTCAAGTATTTCCCCAAATCTGTGATTGTAAAAGGGGAATAAACTGGGATGAGTTTAGCCTGCCAAATTCTCCGCTGTTGTGGAGATTAGCTGAGGGGTTACTGTCCTCAGAAACAACAAGAAGTTAGAGTTATTCTGGAAGTGGGCAAAATTTGTTCTTCCATGCACCACAAATGTGTTCATTCAGGTCTGTGAGGCCAACAGAAGCATGCAAAGTTCATGCATTAGCAGGAAGTCCGGATTAACTGGAACTAAAATGGAGGCCAGGAGATGACCTTGTCCTCTGCAAGAAATCCTACGAGCAAAGCAGACTTTGCTCTCTACTAGAAACTACTATTGGTTCCCCTGAATATTGGGTGGGGAACAGGCAGAGTGTTAATGCCTGAAGCCTGACCACAGTGTAAATAAATTTTATACCCCAGAAAAGCGCTAAGAGGCCACTTTCTAAGTAATGGGTGGGGGAAACCTCTTTCAGCTAGAGCACCAAATTCAAATATGAAGAAACTCTCAAGGGATTCCAGGGATGGGCAAGGCTGAAGCTGAAGGGGAGGTCAAAAGCAAAAGGGCTGGGGTCAAAAGTACAACCCTCTCCCAAACCCTAAACCCAACCTCTTTTAGCATAAAGCTCTCCCTGCCAGTCACTATGTCTTAGGAGAGGTATTTCAGCCTTTTAGACCAAAAGAAAAACTGCACAAAATTCAAGAAATCACAAAATGTTTCATGATCAGGAAAAAGAGGGAGGACCTGGCTTCAAAGCAAGAGGTCCCTAGTGCTGTGCTAAGGAAATGGAGTAAGCACTTCACCCCCTCCCCGCGGAAAAACTTCTCACTGCTGGGACAAGAGTGTAAGAACCGGTTCCAGACTGGGTAGGTATGGCTTAAGTGGACAATGCATAAATGGTAAAGGTCCTGCTTACTGGCTAAGTCGGGAGCAGGCAATGTTTGGCCCACCCAATGTTGTTGGACTACAGCTTCCATTGTCCCTTGGAAGCCTAGCCAGTGGTGCGGAACATGAGAACAACATCATCTGGAGGGCCACAAGCTGCCCTCTCCTGAACTACATGCAAGGGCTCTCCAAAGAAAACAAACAAAAACAGCACCAGAGGTGAAGATCTTCCCTTTTTGCATTCCCTGTGTCTGGAATTCAAACACAAAACTTGCATTGCTAGGGTCACCCATCTTCCACTCAAATGCACCAGAGATCCAGGTCTTCAGAAAGTTACAGAAGGTCTTCAGAAGGGATCCTGTGAGCCCTGCCTCCTTCACACCCATATAACACACATGCTCCTTTGGTGCCCTTGCTCCTTAGTTACACTAAGAAGTCTGTTCAAATATTTGGAAGGCTGGGACTCTTCCCTGCCAGCCTTCACAGTGATTGCCAGAGAAAGCCGGACCCTGCTCCTTGGAAAGCATGTGTGCATTTCCTTGGAAATTCATTCAAGAGGACTTTCTGGGAGGCAGCAAGCACGGCAGTGCAGCCAACTTGCTAGCCATTGCATCCCGTCTTTTGCTCAGAGATGGCAAAGGAGGGGAAGCTGCCACTTGGAATCACCCTGCCTGCCCCACCCCACCCCACCCCCCCACCCCACCCCATCAGTCCATCCTGTCTTCAGCAAATACAATGAATGGCTTCTTTACAAAGAGAGCTGCACCTGCCTTTAGAAACAGCAGATTTATTTTGGTGGCAGAGGTGGGGGAAGCAGGGGTAGATCTAGACAGTCCTCTTTGCTTGATCACAAGTGCACAGGTACGCTGGCGCTTTCCCCACTGAGAATTATGAGCAAAATCGCAGGCAACCAGAGCAGAACGGCTATCGCACCCCACAGAAACGTGGCTGAATTGAACCCACATTCCCTCCAAATGCACATTTGCAAGCTAGGCAGGCTACAGAGAGAGCTCTGTTCAGCATCAACCACTGTTCAGTTCAGTTCAGTGCCGATATAACCCTTCACCAAAATTAAGGGTGATAAGGAATCTGTGAGCCAGGTCTTGGGGTACTGGGGGGAAAGGAGCTCAGTCCTGTGACCCTTTCCCAATCTCTTGGCTATAATTAGAGAGAATGGAAGCTGGAAGAGGCAGCTTGCCCCTTCGGGCACTGACAGCGGCACCTCTCCATGTCCAAGCATTTACCATTTGCTGGAAGTCATAAGCCTGCATCTGGCCAAAACACAGAGTGGCCCAAAGACCTTATTTGGTGTCATCCATGAAAAAAAAATTTGTATGCTGGCCAACCAAAACTGATCATAACCTCTGACCACCGACCATGGAAAAAATGGGAACCCAGGCTATGGGGTGCAACATTCGACATTATCTGTTGATTCAGTAGCAGGAAAGTCCCCTTTTCTCTAAAGCTCGAAATTTGGCGAGCCTTCGCATTCGGGCCTTAACTTTCTCACCGGTAGGAGGAGTTTTGGGCTCACCAAACTGGTCTGATCACGCTGGCTCAAGAGCAGGTTTCTTTGAGTCCCTTCGCTATGGGGCTGGGGGAAGGCCCAGGAAATTTTACAGGCGCAGCGATTTGCTCTTGAAAGGTGATCTGCAGCCTCTGCAGCCTAACCCGGATCGGTCCACTAGTTGCTTGCGGAACGGGGCTTCTTCGCTTAGGACCGCTCCCAGTCCCTTCGCGAACTGACTCCCTCGCCTCCGCCTTCACCTTCTCCTCCGTCGGGAACAGATGAGCTGGCAGAAGCTCCGGGAAAGGAGACGAGGCTTCACCTTCGCAGGAAACCTTCCCAAGTTGCGGGTTTCTCCTCTGGAGACGGGGGAGCCTTCCGTTCGGTCGCTTCTTTCAGGGGAAGGCAACCTGGTGCCTGCCCGGATGTTTTGGACCACAGCTCCCATAAGCCCCGATCATTGGCAATGCTAGCTGGGGCTGGTGAGAAGTGCAATCCGAAATTATCGGCGGGACACCAGGCTGCTTATCCCCTCGCTTTATCCCCTCAACGGTGCCATGCTATTTCTCTGCCTGGTTCCCTCGCTCCGCCACGCCCCTCTGATCTCCCCATTCATCCTGTCCTGGAAGCCCCTTAAGGCCAGGGACCTTCTCAGTTTGTCTAAGGAATACACGCTGAGCTTCCTGGCCATTGGCACCTACTGCCGATTCCTTCGCCCCGCTGACACTGCTTTAATAATGATCATGGTGGTGACGATGATGACGGTGGTGACGACCATAATAACAACGATAAAGATCAGGGCGAAGACCGGCCAGGCGGCCCCACTCACCTTGTCGATCAAGCCGGCAAATTTGTTGTTGAGGACCTTGATCTCCTCCTTTTCCTTGGTCTTCAGTTGCTGAACGGTGGGGTCGATCGCCAGGTTGAGCGGCGCCAGCAGGCTCTTGTTCACAGAGACGGCCGTGATGCCGCCCCCCATGCCGCCACCGATGCGGACGGACGACCCACCTAAGGAGCCCCCATAGCCTCCGAACCTGCTGCCCCCGTGGCTGGAGCTGGCATAGGAGCTGCTGATCCGGGAGCTGCTGACGGGACCTGGGGTATAAGAGCGGCTGCTGAAGCTGCGGACGGTGGAGCTGCTCCGGTAGGGCTTCATCATCGTGTAACTTAGGGGGCGCTTGGCTTGTTTTTCACGTCAGCTTCCTCTCGGGAGGCTGCCAATCAAAGCAGAGCGGGAGAGCGAGGCACAAATCCGGCAGGCGCTGGAAGGAGGCGAAGGGCTAAAGGCGAGGCTGGCTGGTGGCAGAGTTATATACCGTGCAAAGGGGAGGGAGCTGCAATTCCGACGGCTGTTAACACCTGAATGGTTTCCAGAAAGGAAGGGCGGAGCTAGAGGTCTCCGCGGCGCCCTACCTGCCTTCTAGGGCTGGCTGTGGCCGCCACGCCTATTTAACTATTTTCGAGGTAATCATAAGCCAGGAAGGGAAGGGCGCACACGCACACTGACCAGTGGGCTGGGTACAACTTCTCCCTTCCCCGCCAGCGGGCCACCTCTCCGTGGGGGCGCTTTCCCGCGCTCTCCTTGATTGTGCTTCCTTGGCCCAAACAGGCCCAAAGAGGGCAGCAGATGTCCAAACCTGTCCTGGGAGGGCGGGACCCTTCCTACCTTCCGTCCTAGCGGGCAATAGAACCGGGAAAGGTTTGTTGGCCGATATTTATGAGCTGCTTATCATAAAAATAGATTGTATAATAGCCAGTGTGGTGTAGTGGTTAAGAGTGCAGGACTCAAGCAAACTGGGTTCTAGTCCCTGCTCAGCCATGGTGCCAACTGGGTGACTTTGTGCCAGTCACAGACTCTCAGCCCAACCTACCTCACAGGGTTGTTATTGTGGGATAAGATTGAGAGCAGCAGTAGGAGAATGATGCCAGCCGCTTTGAGTTAATTGGAGAACAAAGCAGGATATAACTCAAATAAGTAAATAAATAAATTTGTAAGCTATATACAAACAACACTGTATCAAATCACAATCAAAAGAGGCAACTGCAGGTCAGCAAGGAAAAAGACACTCCCTTGGAATAAATACATTTTGAGTGAGTCCTGAAACCTCAGAAGGGACAGTGTCTGTCTAATATGCATGGGTAGGCAATTCCAGAGGGTGTGGGAGCTGTGATATTTATTATTTCAATTTATATCCTGCCTTTTTCCTACCAAGGGCTCAAGGCAGCTTACATCATTCTCCTCCTCCATCTTATCCCCACAACAACAACCCTGTGAGGTAGGTTGGGCTGAGAGTCTGTGTCTGGCCCAAAGTCACCCAGTTGGTTCCATGGCTGAGCGGGGACTAGAACCCAGAGCGTCTGAGTCCCAGTCCAGTCTTCTTAACCACTATACCACACTGGCTCATACACAGAGGCTTGCCTCCCATGGACTGGACCTCTATTTTAGGCAGCACTGGGAGGGCATTGCTTGATTAGTGCAACAGCCAATATGGTGGGAATCAGGCCCGGTTTCAAAGGCATCAGGGCTGGGACTTGCAGAGGGCACACACCCCTGCAGGGTGATGCTGAGAAGGGTCCCTGCTGTTGCCTCTCCTCTTCACAGCCTGTTTGTTTGCTTGCCTCTTGCACTGGCCCTGACAGCAGAGGAAAAGGGGCAGCAGGCACAGGAGCCTAACTTCCCCCTGATTTGCTGCCTGCCCAGCCAGCTAGCCTGCCAGCTGTAGCAATGATGGGGAAGAGGAGGAGAAGCAAGAGCAGCTGGGTGCAATGGCAGAAGGAAGGCGGATTCCCTGAGGCAGCTCCCAAACCTGGGGCAGGCATGAATGGGAATTGTACTTCAAGTATACCTGGAGAGTGCCAGCCTGGAGAAATCCAATCTGTACTACAGAATAGGTGAAAAATTAAAACATGGCAAAACAAAACCAGCAACCTCCTTCCCCTCAGTCCTCCAGCCAGTATCCCAGAATTCTTTACAGCAGGGTCTAATTGTGACCCTGCTTCATCCAGGGGTTGGGTTTGGGACCTTTGGAGCTGTTGTTCAGGAGTCCTACACCACCATACCAACTGCTCCACTGATGACAGTCACTGGCTTGTTATCTGTATCTGCTGTCCTCCCACCCCAGCAAAATGTGTGCTGTGGAGTCCTTTTCTTTCTTCCTTTCTAAAGAGTCCTTCACTGGAGAAGGAAATGGCAACCCACTCCAGTATCTTTGCCATGAAAACTCCATGGACAGTACCAAAAGACAAAAAGATGTGACGCCGGAAGATGAGCCACACAGGTCGGAAGGTGTCCAATATGCTACTGGGGAAGAGCAGAGGGCTAGTACTAGTAGTGCCAGAAAGAAAGAAGCAACTGGGTCAAAGCCGAAAGGACACTCAGTTGCTGATGTATCTGGTGGTGAAAGAAGAGTCCAATAATGTAAAGATCTATACTCCATAGGAACCTGGAATGTAAGATCCAGGAATCAAGGCATGCTGGATGTGGTCAAACAAGAGATGACAAGACTGAACATCGACATCTTAGTAATCAGTGAACTAAAATGGACAGGAATGGGTGAATTTAATTCAGATGACCATCAGGCAAGGATCCCTCAGAAGAAATGGAGTAGCCTTCATAGTCAATAAAAGAGTAGGAAAAGCAGTACTGGGATACAATCTCCAAAATGACAGAATGACCTCAGTTTGAATCTAAGGCAAACCATTCAACATTACAATAGTCCAAGTCTGTGCCCCAACCACTGGTGCTGAAGAGGCTGAAGTTGACCAGTTCTATGAAGGCCTATAACACCTAGAATTAACACCAAAAAATGATGTCCTTATCAACATGGGGGATTGGAATGCTAAATTAGAAAGCCAAAAGATAACTGGAATAACAGGTCTTAGAGTACAAAATGAAGCAGGGCTTAGGCTGGTAGAATTTTGTCAAGAGACTATGATGGTCATAGCATACACTCTTTTCCAACAACCCAAGAAACGACTCTGCACATGGACCTCACCAGACGGTCAACACAGAAATCAAATTGACTATGTGCTCTGCAGCCAAAGATGGAAAAGCTCCATACAGTCAGTAAAAACGACCAGGAGCTGACTGTGGCTCAGATCATGAGCTTCTTGTTGCAAAACTTAGGCTTAAATTGAAGAAAGTAGGGAAAAGCACTAGGCCACTCAGGTATGACCTAAATCATATCCCTGATGAATATACAGTAGAGGTGACAAATAGATTTAAGGAATTAGATCTGATAGACAAAATGCCTGAAGAACTATGGATGGAGGTTCACAACATTGTACAAGAGGTAGCAACTAAAACCATCCCAAAGAAAAAGAAATGCAAGAAAGCAAAATGGCTGTCTGAGGAAGCTTTACAATTAGCTGGGGAAAGAAGGGAAGTGAAAGCCAAGAGAGAAAAGGAAAGATACACCCAACTGAATGCAGAATTCCAGAGAATAGCTAGAAGAGATAAGAATGCCTTCTTAAATGAACAATGCAAAGAAATAGAAGAAAACAATAGAATAGAGTGGACCAGAGATCTCTTCAAGAAAATTGGAGATAGGAAGGGAATGTTTCATGCAAAGATGGGCATGATAAAGGACCAACATGGCAGGGACCTAACAGAGACAGAAGTGATTAAGAAGAGGTGGCAAGATTACACAGAAGAACTATACAAGAAAGAGCTTAACGTCCCTGATAACCACGATGGGGTGGTCACTGACCTCGAGCCAGACATCCTGGAATGTGAAGTCAAATGGGCCTTAGGAAGTCTGACCAACAACAAAGCTAGTAGAGGTGACAGTATTCCAGCTGAGCTATTCAAAATCCTAAAAGATGATGCAGTAAAAGTGCTACACTCAATATGCCAGCAAATTTGGAAAACTCAACA